ATTTTTCTTTTCTCATTGTACTGATATGAACAAAGCTTAATCATTTGTGTGTGGGTGTGTGTGTGTGTGTGTGTGTGTGTGTGTGTGGTGTGTGTGTGTGTGTGTGTGTGTGTGTGTGTGTGTGTGTGTGTGTGTGTGTGTGTGTGTGTGTGTGTGTGTGTGTGTGTGTGTGTGTGTGTGTGTGTGTGTGTGTGTGATGTGCATGCTGGGAGCTTGCACATGTAGTGTTGCCTCTGCAGAGTCAGTCTGCTCTGTCATGCTGTTTCCATAGCAGCAGCAAGAGCCAACACAGCCAACCACGCTAACTTCCTGGTTTCTCCCTATTGGTGCCAGCTCACTCTGACTCTCTTCCTACCTTTTTTTGGGGGGGGCTCTCTTAAGTCTGAACAGGACTGGTTTCACTTCAGTGTCCCACAGCACAAGAAACACAAAAGAAAAGCAAACATGTTCAATATAAGGTCCTTTTTCTTCGACAAGACATGATATCCAGGAATTAACACAACTCAATGTAGATCCTTATCCCAAATGATGATACATTGTATTTAAAGTATTATAAAAGTGGCCATCTTGTTGTGGTTCTCCAATATTAATCTGTTGAAATGAAGTCTATAGGTTTGATGTATCAGCAGTAGCACTACATCTTCTCTGTTCTGTGCGTCTTCTTTGCTCATATTCTACGTTCTTCCTAGTATAAAATGTGCCTCTGGAGGAGTCTGTGTCATGAAGGTGACTGCCCACAGATGGCAATCATTGCTGCCCATGTAAACAAACTCCCATTTGCTACTAATATTTGTCATTGTCCCGGCTGTCATTGCCTAATTCTAACGGGTAACATCCGCTCTTTTCTCTCCTCTCTTTACAAAAACACCCTGTTATTTTTAGTTGAGGCGTCTTTGCATGCTTAAGCTGTTACATCAATAGAGTATGAGTGCATATCAAGCAGCTGCAGTATCATTAGCAAATACAAAACTGAATTTGCGGAATTAATCTAACACAACATTTTTTGGTGGGTTTATTACATTTTGACATTCAGGACAGTCAGTAATAATTTCAAGTTTCTGCATCACAAGTTAGTCAGGAAAATAAATGCCGAAGCTTGTATGTGACTAGTCAGCATGTCAGTCTGTGGACAGGAATAGAGTTCATGACTGTGATCACTCAAGAACAAAGAACAAACAAAGCTAAAAAATATAACACACATGAATCCTATTTAATCTGTGGTGGAGATATATTATAAAGGTCCTATGAGCTCTGGTCAGTGTTGCTGGGCTACATGGCTCTTGGCCCGGATGCCGTAGGCTTGATTAGAGGATGAAGCAAGCATCACACTGATTTCACACCTTTGGTAGGCATGTAGCTTTCAGCCAAGTGAGCAATCAGATTGCCTGCTTGCTCAGCCAATGAGAGGATCCCGATGCTTCTTCTGTGTAGCTATGATGGAAAGTGATGTATGACATTTCTGATTAGAGCGCCACCCTGAACACTTGTTACATCCAGAATTTAATGACATGTAAGCCTACAACATGTCTATGAAGACTATATATGTATATTAGGTATATATATATTATGTCTTGTGTCACATTAGTTTCTATTGAACCATCTTTGGTGCAGAGTATTACGTACAGATCAGCAGGATGTCTTCACCTGTAAATGTGTGTAATGCTCAAAGCCTGGAAACTGTTAACATAACGATAACTGTTGATCGTGAGGCTGTTGCACAAGTTATTTCAAAATATTAAATTTTATACTAAAACTCGACCATTTTTAATTGGCAAATCCAAACAACATGAGTTTTAGGTCGGCAGGTATGTAATTACATTACATTACATGTCACTTGTTAGATGCTTTTATCCAAAGCGACTTACATACTCAATACTGTGGGCAATCCCCACAGGAGCAATTTGGGGTGAAGTGTCTTGCCCAGGGACACAACGACATGCTGACTGCAGTGGGGTTTGAACCTGTGACCCCCTGATCCAAACACCTACGCACAACCCACTACGCCACACGCCTCCGCATATAATAAATTAATCATTATACAGTATTTCAACAGGACGGGGAAAGTGGTAAAAGAATCCGAAAGGGGGACTAATAAATAATCAATATATGAATTTCAAAGCTCCAACTTGTTACTGAATAGACAATGTACAAATTAAATTAAGTTTTTTAAATCTAAATCTTGAACTTGAACTCCCACAAAAGTGAAATAGTGATTAAAACCTAAAACAACTAAGTGCAAAATGGTTTCCCCATGGTTTATGCCCTATAATATTTGTCTACTTTCTCCCATTTCCTCCCATGCCTCCATGGCTACTTCCCTGGTCTTCTTAAGGCCTGATCTATTATTTTCACTTTAAAAGAAAGAGAGTTTAAAAGGTTTAACCACGTTGTTCTACTTAACAAGAAATAATGTACCCTTATTGCCCAACTATAGTTTTGCTTCATCTTTTTCTGAGTTGTCAGTCCACCACATTGTACTGGCATAAAGACGACAAGGTATAGTAGAAGCTTATCGGAATTGTATAATCCTCATTGTTGAAACCTTAAAGGGGACCTATCATGCAAAATGCACTTTTTGATGTCTTTTATACATAAATATGTGTCCCCCCAGCGTCAGCAAATAAAACCCTCTCTCTTTTCCTCCATACCCAAATCTCTAAAAACGGGGCTACAACGGAGCTGATCCAGATTTGCGTCCGATATGACGTAATATCGGCAATGTAGGCTGGCTTTACACCCACGGCCCTATCAGAAACGTTGCTATCAGAAACAATGCCCGACTGTTTTGGACGTAATATGGTCGGTGCATGTTTACATTAGCATCACTAACACTCAGAGCTAACCTGTACTGCACAGAGCATGTGAGTGAAGAAGCAGGAAATAAAAAGGAACACACCTTGTGGTATAACCGGCAAGAGAGAAAGCCTTTGATCTCCATACTGTTTCAGAAATAATCCATGATAATCCATGATATGGCGTTTCATCACCGCAGAATCTGCCGGTAGAATCTCCCGCATCAGCCCCCTCCTCTTTTAAAAAAAAAGCTTTATACCCCAAATCAGCACTTTTGAAACAGGAAGTGAAATAGAGGGATATGAGGCATGGCTAAAATGGGTAATCTGTTTGGTATTTTGAGCAAAACAGTTCATAGACATGTTTTTTATATTTTTTTATATATCTGAGACCTATGCTATTGCCTAAAAATAGCATGATAGGTCCACTTTAACTAAACAAACCCCAAGTTACCTTTTCAGCTCTACACATGCAGGGTTAAACAAGAACCAGTGGTCCAAGGTGTGAGCTCCATGAAAAGCTCTAAGTGTTTGGTTTACACATGCTGAAGACAAACAGGAAATCCCCGCTCGCCTCATTACGCCCGCTTTGCGCATGGCTGTGGATAAGGATGTATTGATTATAATGGTCCAGCCCTTTCAAGATAAACAGTCCTGGAGGATCTGCAGTCTGATCAGATTTCGCCCCACAAAACACACATGAGCAGATTACACATATCGTCCTCACCGTGCTCAAGATCACCCTGTCTATCCTCTGAATTCATCTGGTCACACGGTGCTGGACATGTGTGTGTTTATAGACAGATAAAGTCACATTTGTCTTATCTCTCAGCCTCACGTTCTCCCTCAATCTGCTTTCTACGCCTCTTTATTTATATGTTCTGCCCTCCTTTTCTCCGACTTTCTCCCCCTCTTGATTCCTCGATGTCTTTTCATCCCCTCCTGTTGTTCTCTTACTTCATTTCTCCTCACCACAGCTGGTTTCTGCTCATCCAGATCAAACAGGAAATTGAAGCGGCAGTCAAGATAGCTGAAAAATAAATACATCTTTGTTCTATTTGAAAGGGTTGGCATTAACACATTTTTATTTGTCAGTGAATGAGTGTAGTAAGTGTTTGGGTTTGAAAGGATAACGCTAAATGATAAATCCCCACTGGAGAATTGTAATACCCGTGGTTAGTGTACTCATGCTATTCAGCTGCTGGATTTTTAAAGCTAGTTGTGTAATGGAGTGACAGAGTGATGTTGTCGCAGAATTACAAAGGCTTCAGTATAATTATATAGCTCTGACTCTGTGTTTGAGTAAAGAGTGTGTGTGTGAGTGGGTGTGTGTGCGTGCATGTGTTTGACAGAAAGTGTTGAGGCTCAGCATGCTGTGTAACTGCTGACGAATGACGATTATATTACCCAGCTGCCCTAGGTGTTAGACTTGCCTGGTGGTCAATTGAGAGCATTACAAAGTTCATCTGAAGCTAATATGAGTCTTTAGCTGTCTGAGTTAAAAATATCAAGTGGTTTTCTCCAAAGTTAAGGCTTTATGTCATGCGTTATCCCCCCCCCCCCCCTCCCCCCCCCTTATTTTAAAAGTTTGTACCCTGGAACTTTTCCCACTAGATTTTACAGGTGGTGTTCCCCTCTCTCTTCTATTCAGAATGTTGCTTTGGTATGTTGAAGCATGTTAAAATGCCAAGATGTTTTAGCTTTATGGATTCATGCATGTATGTTCAAAGCTAGGATTGGCATTTGACATTTAAAAAAAATGATAACAAAAGTATCAGAAAACACATCAAATGAAGGTGATACAAATAGGAAAAAGATGAAACCCCATAATCAATTGTTACCAACTTCAATTGACACCTACATTACACTTTGTCCCTGTACATACACCTTTTTTTTGTTGGAAAAAGAGTAATTTTGTGCACTCATTAATGTATTACTCAGGTAAGCAGTGAAATCTGTCACCATTAATGAATACAGCTCACGTGATTGCATTTTAGCAAGTTTTAGAGAAAATCTCACAAATGATTGTTACTGAAAGCTCCATTGAAGAAAAAATAATGGATGTTTCCGAGGCTTTTTTTTGTTGTCATCTGTTGGTGAACGAGCCTGATGTGATGTCCTACCAACAATCTTCTGATTGATTTTTACGAGTTGCATACTGTCTGATATTCGTCTAATGTCATCTCCTTCCTCTCCTTGCCTCTACAGTGCAGTGTCTGGAGATGACCACTAAGCGGAAGCTGATTGGCCGGCTGGTGCCGTGCCGTTGTTTCCGTGGGGAAGAGGAAGTGATCTCAGTGTTGGATTACTCCCACTGCAGCCTGCAGCAGGTCCCCAAGGAGATCTTCAGCTTCGAGAGAACTCTGGAGGAGCTCTACCTCGACGCCAACCAGATTGAGGAACTACCCAAGGTAATTATGTTTATGTTTATATCTTTCTTCTCTCTATAACCACTTTTTAAATTGTTGAACCTAGACGAAGCTGGTCAGATATCTCTGGCCTTGTGAATAACTTTCTGTTGACCAATGTTGCATTTATGAAATGCCCACTCCAGACCTTGTTCTAGAATGAAAATGCATGTATTTCATGCTTTGACCTGTTGGTGGAAAGCACAGCAAATCTGCATCAGTGCACGTAAAACTAGATAAAGTAATCAACATTAATGTATATATTCCTTTTGTTTCATATTTGACAAAAGGGAAACGTTATTCCCCAATCATAACATAAACGGTTCTGACTTGTTGGTTGTAGTTTAAACTTGTATATGTATTAATAGTCTGTGAGCCCATTATTTGCTGATACAGAGACACTCCAGTGATGTGTATTTAACGTAACTTACAATAAGAAATACTATTAATCTTTGCCCTTCTAAGATCTTGCTCACCAGCGGGACAAAATGCTGGTAGCAAAACAAAATGGCTTATCCTATCATTTTCAAATTAGGGTATACTTCTGACTCAGCTTGTCCGTCTACATTGTTCTCATCTTCAGGTATACTCAATGTTCTGAAGTGAATCCTTATATTAGTGTTTCCATGCTATCATCAGCAGACTAAGTCATAACGATTTTTGTTCTGTGAATAATGACTGCACAATTTTTCTATTCAATCCATTCAATAAGTGTTGGGATATTTCCTTGTGGAGGGCTGTACATGAAAGTTTCTTGAAAATCAATTAACTTATCGACATTGCCATTTCTTGAGAGTCTTGAGACTGACATCAGCAATATTGTTTTCTTGGCATGTTTATACACAGTACTTCAAACATCATTACATAATAGACATCGACGAGAGGCATCTTAGACCACCAGAGACATTAAAGAAAAACACGTTGCAGTAATGAGACAAAATGCCCTTCCAATATTTCAATGAGAATAACAGGTGCTGTTTATAGGAGGGCACCACTGTCTCATTTTTATTGATGACCTGTCCTGGTTTAAATGACAGAGATGTCTAAATAGATGTCTTAATATAACTTGCATGAAAGGAGACTGAGTCAAGGCAAACCTGCATTCAGCTGACAGGAAAAGGCTTGATTATGCGCATATGTATGTTTATGTGTGTGCTAAGAGCTTCCATGAGTGATTGGCCTTTATAAAATAGTGACTTGAAGAGCTCCTTAAGTGTGTGTGAGTAAGTGATTGTGTCTCAAAGTGTCCTGGCCTGGCCTGACCCATGGCACAGAGCCAGTCTGAACAGTGACAGTAGGATGTGACAAAGATTATATAGTGAACATCTAAACAGGTTATAAAATACATAAAAGTGTATCATTTAAAATTATATGTCCATAAAGCAGCACTTTATTTATGGCAGTTTGTGATTCACATGTAGTTAAAATGAACTCTTCAAATGTCTGCATACAGTAGGTTCACTTTCTTTGTAGGCCTATAAGGTCTTGGAAATTGCTGGCAGGAATGAATGTGAGTGAGCTTATGTTTGCTTGAATTGTAAGGAGTTTAGATATTACAAAGTGCAAATCAGTAGATAATTGGATGTTATGGTACAGTACACCTCAAATCACACTCTGAGTGACACGTTGCAGGTGAAGGTGCTACATGTTTACACTGGCACCGGTGCAACTTACAACACAGAGGGCTGTGCAATTTAATCGATCCTGCGATATATATCGATATTTAGTTTTCCGAGAAAGTATCGATATTTCAGCCGCGGGTATCGATACATTAAGTCTGATAACTATGTTCGTTATTCTCGCATCCAGGAGAGAAGCTTTAAAAAGGAGACTAATTGAGTCTCTGAGAAGGTTCAAATGTATACTTTAATTAATAAAAAGCGCGGTAATGTTACAAGCAGAAGATGGTTCAGTCAGAAACACAGCTGTGTTCCGCTGCTGGGGGCCGGCCCTCCACGTCTCCAATGTTCGTTGTTGCGCATTACAGAGGATTCAGACATTGTACATTAAATATATAACTAAACACGCCTTTTCTCCTCCTTATCTCTTTCATGACTTTTCATTTAATACATTTTAAACGCTGTAATCAATACTCCAAAGATACCTCACGGCTGGTATCATTTCCGGTAGTTCCGGATGTTGTCTCATGCTACCCACGTCTGTAAACAAACGTATTCAAATAAACTGTACCTTCATTTAATATTCAGCAATAATAATATCTCGACGTCTATAGTTGTAGTGTTGAAATCTGTAGGTTTCGGTGTGCAACACTCCGTGTCATATCGCTACTAAATTCACCTCTATAGTAAATGGTATATTAGCCACATGCTAAATGCTAACCGGAGATGATGGATTTTCAGAATAAAAGCTTAACAACTGGTTGTGCACCAGAACTTCTGGTTTTTCAGTATAAAACAGCATTTAAACTGACGGTATGTTTAAGGTACTTTATGCCATCAAAACATTGATTTTAATTTCTAACAAGTCCCATTCAAATCCCCCGTGTTCCGCCACCTGCTGCACCTTTTAATTATCCATTGTCCATTGTGATACTGCACTTTATGTACTTACGTTTCAAAGGCTTGTAAGCTACAGTTTGCACTGTTTCAATAAATGAAACTAATTTTCTCACCACATCTTTTGATTCATTTTGTCCAGCATTTGCAAGCTGTAGACTCTCTGTCAGAGCCATATATTGTATAATTGATGCTTTCAGTTTTCAGTTGAATTAATTCAATCCAAGTCAATGGAACACTCACAAGATGTCACCAAAATCACACTGTCCCTTTAAAATCTTTCAGAAAATGATATAAGTGTATCGAATTATATCGAATCGTATCGAATCGTATCGTTGACTGAATATCGTGATATATATCGTATTGTGAGCTGAATATCGTGTATCGTATCGTATCGTGAGAGTGTATCGCTACAGCCCTGATACTCTGGAAGTGTTTCGGCACATTTCATCTTGTTTTTACATGTGATTTATATGATCAGCTCTTAGTTAAGTTAATGTACGGAAACACAGAAAAAGAGAACCAAAGTTCACTGTAGCAACCATTTCATTATTTGTTAAGTTTAAAATGTTTTGCTATTCTTACAAATGGTTTAATTTATACTTCTACGCAGGAAATCATCAGCATTTACCACCTTTAATAATAATAACATCGATGTTATTGAATTAAACTGTTCAGGGAACCAAAAGTGAGGCAAGTTATGCTCCACCTGTGCCAACTGAGTGTGGTTATAGAAGAGTCCTCCAACTACACTACTGTATGTAAAGATAAAATACAACGCTTACACAATTGTATCATCTCAGGCTAGGAAATGAAGAGATTTGTGTATTTGGCTGCACAGCAATAGTGAATTGAGACGTTATACACTAGTAGCCCACATGGGCTCATCATCTTATGTTCTTGCTGTGGATACAGACATTATGCCAATTTGAGTAAATCAGAAGATAGTCTGTACATGTCAGTTAATTATCTTACTTCTTGAACAGTCATGTTAGCATAGCCACAGTAAGTACTACAAAAGCTAAGTAATGCTAGTTACACAATGTTTGCTAATGAGTAACTACTCGCTAGCATTCATATGACATTAGTGATTTTGTGAAGTAGTGAGGGTTGAGTGCTCTTTCGAAAACAAAATGTAGTAGATGTTCAGTTAAGATGATTACAACAAACACTTTATTTCTTCCTTCTAAAAATTGGTCTATCACTGCATTTCTGAAGCTGGAGTGCATATTCCTTCATGTTTTTGCATTTGTTTTTGTGTGTGCTTTGGTATTTACTGTTTACTTTTCTATATTCCGAGCACTTTCCTTGTTATGTATGTGTTTCACTCTTTTATATGTGTTGGCATTTGCAGTAATTCTCTATTAAGGCCACATTGCTCTGAATGTTTTTGCTCTCACTCGAGTGTGTGTTTTCTCCCTAGGGGCCACCGTATGTAGGAGATTAATTCTGCATTATTCATAGAATAAGCCGCTGAAATGGCACTGCTTTTCTACAACATTAAGCGCTGCGTGCCTCCAGCTGACTTTTTGTCTCTCTTTCCTTTCGTACCCTCTACTAAAGGTCCTTGTGATATTGCCAATTGACTATAATAATTATTTATTCCTCTCTTTGTTTCCACAGCAACTCTTTAACTGCCAGGCCTTGAAGAAGCTGAGTATGCCGGACAACGACCTCTCCAACCTGCCCACCACCATCGCCAGCTTGGTCAACCTCAAGGAGCTAGACATCAGTAAAAACGGTAATGTTCCTCAGATGAAGAACAAACCTGAATATAAAAAAAACTACTGCTAACTCTTTAGCATCAATTTGAACATCAATTCAAATGTTGGTCAACAGCAATTTGACTCCTAAGACCTCAGAATAAAGCCTCGTAATCACAATATTCTCAATTCGATATGATTCTATTTGATATGACAAAGCTTGGCATTGTATAAACATTCACAAAACTCACTGTGGATAACAATTACATGTCTTTCTAGTGATTCCCTCAACAAAAAGTAGAAATAAGTCAAATGTTCTCTTCCATCTCTGTGTCACTGTGTCACAGGTATCCAGGAGTTTCCCGACAATATAAAATGCTGTAAAGGCCTGTCTGTGGTGGAGGCCAGTGTCAACCCTATCACCAAGTAAGACACCAACGCACATCATCTAGAAACATCTTCAACATCTTACTCCTATCAATGGAAGTCTCTAGTTTGATGGCAGCATGAGTTAAAATCTATTTCACAAAGTTCAGTTTTGAAAGATAGACAAAAAATATTCACTAACATAAAAACTGAAGAAGCTAATTGATCTGCTTCTGGATAACAAAGTCAGATAAAATCCTGACTCTATCACCATGTATATTTATTGATGGAGACCAATTGGTGCACCACGTTCTGTTGTTAGGACCAATTTTATCAACCAGTTTGAGAGGACCTGGATTCCGCTCAGGATTGTTTGATGTATTCAGCCGTTGAAACTTTTTTTTGTCCAGAGACGGACAGTATTGTTGTTATTTTTTGGCACTTCATATATCTGTTCACTGCATCCACCTACCATGCAACCATCCTATGGGCTCAGCTTGGACTGAACTATAGAATATATAATTGCTACAATAAAATGCAGATGATGTTCACTATTGGAGCATGAGCTGCTAGTTACTGTACTGCGGTGTAATGTCCATGAAGCCTGTTTGTGCATGTGAGATGAGCATAAGATGAGTCGATGCATTGTTATAGAAAGATGTTTAAATCAATGTTGGCACTTCAAGGAAACACAACTTGTTCATCTCTTTCTCATATTTCTTCCTGTGTTTCTGACTGGTCATTTCCCTCTCTTCCAGACTCCCAGATGGTTTCACACAGCTCCTGAATCTGACCCAGCTCTTCTTAAACGATGCCTTCTTGGAGTATCTGCCCGCTAACTTTGGCAGGTAAAGTGATGGCATGTAATTGTTCATGTGTGGTTGGTGGTGACTGTGCTGGATTGGGTGTTTTTCTTGAAATGTTTTTTTCTGCTCATAATTATTTGTTCTTTAAAACAAAAAAAGAAGCAGATCATCATATGTTTTAAACAATTGATTTGAATATCTTAATAACAAACAGTAAAATTAGTCTTGTTTCATGTGACTTCTGTCTTTCAGACTTTCAAAACTACGGATCCTGGAGCTTAGAGAGAACCACCTGAAAACCATGCCAAAGTAAGAAAAAACAACACAGTGTTTGTGTGTGTTAGAAAGAAACAAATACGGGGAAGACACATTCATTATCATGTACAGCAGCTGCGCACATACTGTACAAACACACACACACACACACACACACACACACACACACACACACACACACACACACACACACACACACACACACACACACACACACACACACACACACACACACACACACACACACACACACACACACAGATGCTTCATGATATTAGCGGGATGATGCTTGCTTTCCCAGGTGTCTGGATTAAAACTAGAATTATCTCTGGCAGGTGGTCATGAATACTGATAAAGCCAAACCATAATGTATCTCTTCTAACTGTTTTAAATTATTACTGTTTGAATACAAAAACTAACTAGGAGAGAGAACCTTTTTACTTAACAAGATAACCCTTGTAGAGTAGCAGTGATTTCAATTACATTATATTATGTTAAGCGATAATGACAATGTGGCTGCAATTACTACTTCACAACTACCAGTCCACAATGCCCCTTGCCTTTCAACTAAGAATATGGTTAACCTGCAGCAATTTGGAAAACCCGTTTAGTTTTTGTCTATAAATGTCTATAAATAAAGAAACGGCATGCATAGTCAATGTCAGATTTGCAATAGCAACAATCTCGATGCTAGATTTTAATTAAACTAAATGTTGAGGTGATTTTAACATTTAAAGGCTATATTTGTGAGTGAGTAAAATGGGGGTGTGACATGAGAAATGCTAACATAATTAATTATCAGAATTGCAATAGAAGCAAACATAAGTACTAGAAACAAGACACATTTTGAAGGATAATAATTCAAACTTGAAAAAAATGTAAATAAATAAAAACAAATATTATTTTAGTGTACAGTATATTGGCTTTGTGGTTAGGTGGGAAGAACAAATATATATATGCATTTAGTAAGTCACAATGCACTTTTATGTATGTATTCTCTCTTCTCAGGTCCATCCACAGACTGACACAGTTGGAGAGGTTGGATCTGGGTAGCAATGAATTCACTGAGATGGTGAGACTGACAAGCAGCATAACTTAAGTGTTTAAATGTGTAATATGTTGTACATTGAGATTGTCCTACATGATCACAGCAAGCTCGAATCTAAACTCCTCTATAGAACTGTAGAACCTGTTGAACTATGTTTATTTGTAAAGAGAACAAGAACCTGAACACAGATGCTTTGTCCTATTTTGGGAGCCTCTGCCCTGAAAGTTCATATAGAACAAATACGACATATGGTAAATCCTCAGTAGGCTGTCTCAGTGAGGCAGGGGCAAGTTCAGAGTACTGTCCTTTAGTTGCACACTGAAATGGGACCTAGCGACATGATAGAGGTAGAAAGGTTTGGATATTGCATCAAGGTCAAGCAGGAAGTCTCCTGTGAGATTGCCAGTCTCACCCTTTTTTTGATTGTTCTCTATTTATGCCAAAGATCTGGAGATTCATTAAAGTTATTATTTGGATCTGTATATGTTCACAGAAGGTGTCCTATGATTTGACTGAATTATACAGTTGTTTTATATAAATAGCAGCATATCTGCATATTCGTTGTTGCTCATGTGCTCTGTACATGCTGATATGGTTTCCTCTGTTTGGCTTGTTAGCCGGAGGTGTTGGAACAGATCCACAACCTAAAAGAGCTGTGGCTGGATAACAACTCTCTACAGTGTATACCAGGGGTAAGAACACAGACACTTTTGCAGTGATAAAAAGGAACTATGAAATTACTTTTTATATGAAATGACGCTCTCTTTTCTTTCTCTCCCCCTACCGGCTGCAGGCCATAGGAAAACTCCGTCAGTTGCGGTACTTTGACTTAGCTAAGAATCGCATCGAGTCGTTGGACACTGATATCTCAGGCTGCGAAGCCTTAGAAGACCTGTTACTGTCCTCCAACATGCTGCAGCAGCTCCCTGACTCTATAGGTACACACACACACACACACACACACACCACACACACACACACACACACACACACACACACACACACACACACACACACACACACACACACACACACACACACACACACACACACACACATATACTCATACACACACAAACACTCAAGCTGATGACGCTGTAGCAACGCATTTAAATTCACACCTGTGTATCTCCTGAATGGGAGCAGCACAGGACTGTGGTTTACATATCATAAGTAAGAGTTGTCAAGTCAAAGTCAGTGTGTGTGTGTACAGACACTGTTTAGCTGTAATAGTGACGTAGCACAGATAACATAAGATACAACTGGATTTATTCTATATTGTTCTAATTAGCAATAAATCACATGGAAAGATATCCCACGCCCAGTGATTCCTGAAGGTTAAAATCTTTAAAATCAGGTTTTTAATCTTCAGTAATATACTAGAACAGCTGGCCAGGGTAGTTTTAGCAAATGCTTATCCAACAGGAATACATTTTGCATTTGTTTGGGACTATTTTTAGACCTTGATTAATATGCATTTTATTGCGCTGTCTGGGGAATATTTATGGCAGCAGGATGTGGGATTGACTCAAAATAAACTATAGTGCTTCTTGTAATGAAGGAAATGGCACCCACTGCAAATATGTGGCTCATTGGTGGCTGTTTTTAGACAGCATTGGAGTTTAATGAAAAGATGAATAAGCTATATCACGCAGTGGCTACAAAGAGATCCTCAGAAGTAGGACCAAATCTTTGTTGGTTTTAGAAATGTCATCGGATGTCTTATAAGAATAAGAATGGTGCCAACTTTGTACTTAAATCCACTTTTTACAGTCAATCGTTTCAGAGCTCTGTCTAATATTTACGAGATGACTTTTGTGTGTCATTGTGATTTTGTATGTGTGTTTGTATATTGTGTAGGAATGTTGAAGAAGCTGACAACATTGAAGGTAGATGACAACCAGCTGACCTCACTGCCTAACACCATCGGGAGGTAAGGAACACACACACATGCACACAAACACACGTATGCTCTAAAAGAAAACAGATAATGAACAATGCTTTGTCAGATTTTTTCAGCAGGATTATCTTTGGTGGGTTGTTGTTGACTACTGTTAGCTGCTGTGTTGTTATGCTGGCTCATGATTGGGCCGTTCTGTGTGTTGTGTTTGCTGCGTTGCCGTGGCATTAGTCCGAAGCCCAAGCACGGGTGAGTAACATTAGCCTACTGGATCCAGGGGTGCGTTCAGAGACAGATAGATGTTCAGCTGCGTTACAAATACAAACAGACACGCTCAAAACTAGCTGGGGCTGTGGGAAGCATTTCAAATGTATCCAAATGACATGCAAAATTGAAGGAAAAAAAATCTAAATGTGGACGTAACATTTGAATAACATCTTAATTTTCTAATTGAATATGGATTGGAGACACAAATGATTGCATGTCAAATTATTACTGTAATTTCATGATAATAATTCTTATTATAAGCCATCACAGTTCAGATTAAAGTTGCTTTTGAAAGACAACCTTTTAATAATTGTAAACAGAAGTATTTTCATTGAGTCTTTTTGCTGTTTTCTTAAGAGATTGGGAGAAAATAACACAGCAAAGTCTAAAGCAGGATAAATATGAATTTAATTGGAGTCAATTGTTTCTGTTCCTTCTTGCTGTTTGAGTAGTCTCCTGGAACATTGTGTGAATAAGATGATCTATGATGGATTATATTTGTACGACTATTTTACATTCATTGATTTAAATGAAACTCCCAAAAACACTTTTGTATCTGAACGCTCTGAAAACATTTTGTCTTCCTGAACAAATCCCAGGTTTCAGCCTCAATAAGTAGTTCTGTAGATCCATTGCTTCTCCTCTGATTCAACCAGAAACACCTGCAAATGATCATCTTCTTACCCCTAAGTGTTGCTTATTAATGATACATGTGATAATTGTACCTGTGCCTGTACTTCAACCAACTCTACATTGTATTATATCTGCGTTAGTACAACAGGGTATTTACTGTGTATGCTTTATATACACAGGGCTGAATCAGCATATTTCTCTACTCGTCTGTATCGATGTGCAGCCCATTGTGGATTATATATAATCCAATAAGCAGTGCAGTTACATATTCAAGTATGTTTTAAGGTTATTATTCACAGCTTCAAAATGGGCAAGAATATTTTACACCAGGTAACTACTATATATATATGTATATAGGCTCCTCTCTATGAGTTGACTGTAATGCATTACATGAGCTGAATCCTTTAACCAGATGTTACCTTTAGTGTTCAGGCTGCGTTTTACTTTACCCCCAAAATAACACTTTCTGTACAAACGATTAACCCTGTATTACCATGAATTCCTGAAGAAAACGTCCCGCATGCCTCCACAGTGAACATAGAATCAAAGAATGAGAGCATTCTTTATTGATTAAAGTAAGTGGGGTCCATGTTCAACAACAGCAACACTGCTTAAATACTAACACAAAGTCTCAGCTTATAAATTAAAAGATTTGAGCAGAAAAGCATGTGCTTTGGAAGTAGAGAGCATTTGACTAGATACATTAGACCCGGATTTGGATGTGAAGTTGCAACTGAATGTGTTCATATAGATTTGCTGTTTTTTAATGCAGCCCCGCTTTACCTAAGTTCATGGATACTTTGATCACCATGGAGGTATGCGAGAAAAACTCGAGTTTTCTTCATAAATGTAAGGGTAACACAGGATGAATAATTTATATACATCCCATGTTTATTTTGGGGGTGAAGTATGACTGTAAGTTTCTTGCTGAGTAACCCTATCACCTTGTGAAAACCTAAACAAAAGCATTTATCCTACAGAAAGAAGGATATTAAACGAGTGTGTCTAAAAGTGACCTTGTGGCAACCCACTGAGCAACTATGTTTCCTAATGGGTAGATTTATAGAGCTTGGGGTCAGATAGTAGCCAAATTAAATATTATATTTGGTACACTTAGCTGTTTGTTTTTGTGGGAGTAGCAGGAGGCATTTTCATTATTTGAGGTAGGAATACAAACAATGCTGAGGAGAACATAATAAACAAGGCATACATCTTAAAGTAGGATGTGAACCTCCCCCCGACTCTCCCGTCGGCCCGTATGGTGGCCCAGATGGTCCAGGTCCACTGGGGATAATAATGGCAGACTAATGCAATGTTAACAGTGACAGTACATTAATGTAAAAGTGTTGTCTCATTAGCATTAGCCTGCTGTTAGCGGGCTGCTAGGCCACTGATGGCAGTCAAGGGGGGGTCAGGGGGTCCTGTAGAGGGCCTGCCGCTGATCATGTTACTGTGAATCTTGGTGGTGTGAAGAAGTTGAGATCCATGTTGAAGAATTTTAGACATCAATAGGTGATAAATTGGGGGAGGGGGAATGATAGGGGGTCAACAATTCAGACCGAATTACAAGTGACAAAGATGGATTTGGTTGGTTGTGACGCAATTTATTAACCTATTCTTCAACGGATGATCTTTTCCTTCTCCCATCACTCTCTCCTTCTAATGTAAAGCTTTTATGTATCATGACATGTAACAGGATGTGATTGGATTCATTCTAAATGTTTCTTATTGTCAACAAATCGCATAAAATGAAACAAACCAACAATGTGTAAGTCCTTCTCTCAATATCCTGTCTGTAGTCCTCAGCCCATTAACTCATACTAAAGACCTGCTTTAAATCTTATTATTATATAAAAGGTCTGAAGTTTCCTCAAACAGATATAGATATATTTTCAATATTTTACACCACAGGCTGGTGTTTGTGGGAATATCTCATAAAGGAACATTTGATTCAGTGCAACTTGTGGCTCATTGATGTGTTTTCAATGACTTTTGGACTCTGGCTTTATCTACACGGACAATACTTGACAGTTGGATGAATCCATTCTTGGTTAAGTCTTTTCACAGGATTTGTTGGAAATATGAAAAAAGAGTAGCACTATCCTTATCTAATAATACCTGAGTAAGTTGTGTAAGGTTTCAGCTGAGATATTGCAGAATAATGTTCTTTTCTCTGTCATTTTCTCTGTATCTCTTCCTCTCTGCCTCTGTTCCTTTCCTCCAGTCTGTCTCTTTTGGAGGAGTTTGACTGTAGTTGTAATGAGTTGGAGTCGTTGCCTCCCACTATCGGCTACCTGCACAACCTGAGGACGTTTGCTGCTGACGAGAACTTCCTCATAGAGCTGCCCCGGGAGGTAGGAGGAATCAACATACTGTATAATGAACCTTTACACATCCTCAGTGCACGAAAGAGAGTATCAATTATGGAAATGTACTGTTTTTTATTTATTTCTATGAACATAATTTAAGTATGTATGTGATTCTCTACAGTTGGTCAAATAGCAATTAAAGATTCTATTTAGTTTGCTACTTTTACAGATGTTCAGACATTTTAAAGACCCAACCATTGATCCAGTACATCTCTAGTACTTAAAACTGTAAATGTAATGTCGCTTGTTCTAAGGTGTGTATTCAGTAATAGACTTAATCGTATTGTGATCTGATAGTTAGTTGATGTGTTTGTGTTTGTGTGTGTGTGTGTGTGTGTGTGTGTGTGTCTCAGATCGGTAACTGTAAGAACGTGACGGTAATGTCAATGCGTTCCAACAAACTGGAGTTTCTTCCTGATGAGATTGGACAGATGACTAAACTAAGAGTCCTTAACCTGAGTGATAACAGGTACACACACACACACAACATTTTCTCAATGGCCGTTTTGATTATGTAGCTCTTCTCACGGCCTGCAGTTTCCATGGGGATGGTGAGTGTGTTGCCATGGTTACGTGTTCTGCAGGCTGTACAGTGCGTGGGCACAAGAAACATCTCTCTTTTCTTTCTCCCCCTGTCCGCCCTCCCTCCTTTTCTGTGTCTCTCTCTCAGGTTAAAGAATCTACCGTTTACCTTTACCAAGCTGAAGGACCTGGCAGCTCTCTGGCTCTCTGACAATCAGGTATCTCTTCCTCATCATTTCACCAGGAGAGAGTGTACATGCTAACAAGTACAGTATGCAGCACAAACACACACAGCTTCAGTTTTTATATAAGTTAACCAGGCCCTATGTGGACTCAGACTATTTGTAAGAGGTATTCATCTATGAATTCTTCCGTTTTATCATATTGATTATAAACGCCTGTGATGCAAACCCAATGTCTCCTTCCTCTGTTGCAAGTGCATTATTCCTTTATCTCCAAGGAAAACATTTGAAGTTAAACATCTGCAGGAAGGGTTGGGTATTACCTTTAGCAGAATTATCTTTACTGTTCCCTTTATCTTTATTTTTGGCCGGCCATGTTTAGTTTTCTGAGGCCCAATGATGAGTTGATGACGTGCTTTATTAAATAATTTACTGCATTTAACTGTACGCAGAAATACTGCCGATAACAATCTCACTCTACTGTATGATGCAGTCAGTGGTGTGCATTAAGTATGAAGCGTTATTGTTCTATATTATTTTGTTATAACTACTATGAATATTAACATTTCATATGACATTTATAGTTACATCAAAGTCAGATCATTTGAAATCTAAGTCAATCTTTTTTAAACAGCTCTAGAAATAACAACATTTGAAATTCAAATGCAATCAAGGAAAGTTTGTTCAGTCTTTTGCTTAAAGTTGGCACTCAAGTATGCAAATGTTGCTTTTTTATTCAAATGAACCAGCAGAATGTGTTAAAGTTTAATGAATGGTTTTCTTTCATTCATATACCAAAACAGCAATACATTAATGTAGTTTGATTTGCTATATATATATATGCGATAATATATTATCGCATTACTATTTTATATTATCGCATTACTATTTTAATCGATGTCAGTCAATGTGTTTTATGAGTCGATCATGCAAATTAAAGAGGCATTTGACAATTTATTCAACTCATTGAATACACAATTCTAATTTGTGTCTCCCCTTTATGAATATTAGGTAAAGTGTCTACTTCTGTATGTGTCTGTGTTTGCAGTCCAAGGCTCTGATCCCGCTGCAGACAGAAGCCCACCCTGAAACCAAACAGAAGGTTTTGACCAACTACATGTTTCCTCAGCAACCGCGACACGATGAGGGTACAAACTGTGTGTCTGTATGTCTATGTGTGTGGATAGACATGAAACAAAAGGCCAGAGAATGATTTGTTTTTATCACACTATAGCAATATTACAACAATAATACATTGCAGCATGTGCTCTGAAGCTATGGGCCTAAATGTGTGTAATTTGTGGGTTTGTAAATATACGTTTGAGCTGAATGTGGAAGTAAGTGTGTGTCTAACAATCTGCAGACACATGTTTGACAACGGTTTTAACCCTGTCCTTGGTGTGTGTTGTTGGTCGTGCTTCCAGATTACCAGTCGGACAGTGACAGCTTTAATCCCATCCTGTGGGAGGAGCAGAGGCAGCAGAGGATGACTGTGGCCTTTGACTTTGATGACAAGAAAGAAGAGGAAGACAACTCTGGGAAGGTCAAGGTCAGCTCTCTTTCTCTGTGTTTCTGTCTGTCTGACCGTCTTTCTCTCTGTGAAGTATCGGAGCAGGGGGGGTTACATGAGGCATCAGGGCTTTATATTCAAGTTCTGCAAAGCCAGCGTTAACCGGCTGGCAGCTGAAGCACCCCCAACTGTTTTATTAATTCACTCTCAGATTCTTAAATAGATTTGGATCAATTTGGCAACTGTGGTGTTTCTTTATCTCTGATGCTACATCTCATATTTCCAACACTAAAGCTTATGGATCTTATAGTATTTAGAGCCATTTGTAATACATGAAAGGCACAATCTTTGTGCCAAAGTTCAAATGTTTAATCAGAGTCAGCTTTACTGGCCAAGTATGTGTGCATATCCAAGGAATTTGACTAAAAAATATACCCATACATAACAAAATATCTGTTCCTAATTGGGACAATATAAATCTAATTTCAAAGTTAATACCTGACATTTTTACCTGCCTTAAGTTTACAAAAAAACTATTATTTTACTCATACTGTCCGTCTGAATGTGTTCACCCTCTGTCTGAAATGCTCAGTTTAGTGCCTACTTAAAGAAGCTTAATATGTGTATGAAACATTATTGATCTGTCAGTAACGTAATGTGAGTATGACACATTTAAAAAACTACCACAACATAACAATCAACAAGAATTTATGTCTTATTTTAAATGTTTTGACGTTTCACAGACACTTATTTTCTACCATATCTACTAAACGCTTGTTGCGTGTTTTTGTGTCATTTTGCCTGTGTTTCCTCACATATTACATTTTTTGTGTGTAGGTGGAGATTAACCTTAAGCGCTACCCGACACCTTACCCTGAAGACCTCAAGAACATGGTCAAGTCAGTGCAAAGCCTAGTGGGTAAAAGTGTACACGGCGGGCATGGGCACCAACACCAGCATCAGCACCAACTCCAGCACCAGCACCAGCACCAGCTGAGCACAGGCACTGCCACATCAGCAGGAACCAACATGGAACACACACACCTCAGCAAAGAGTATGAACCACCGTGGCCCCTTCCTCCCAAAGAGGTAGGAAATACACACTCCAAGCCTCACAGGTTTTGTTTCGTCTTTTTTCCCGTTATATGTACATTTTTTTTATGATTTCTCATGCATATCCTGAAAAAATGAATATTGTTTGTATCACACAAAATAAAACATCACCATACCACACCATACATCAGTGTGTCTGTAGGATTGATACCTGTGATCATAAAGGTATAAGAGCAGCACAAATGATGTGGTGTGTGTGTGTGTGTGTTCCAGGTGATGGACAGAGAGATGCAGGACTTCTCTCAGTCTCAGCTAATGGATCAGGGATCAATGCATAACTCTGGCATTGACATTCCTAAGAGGAAGGACAAAGAGGACCTGACAGAGAGCTCTGAGGTTTGTCACCTAGAGTGCTAAACACACACAAACACATACACACACACACACACACACACACACACACACACACACACACACACACACACACACACACACACACACACACACACACACACACACACACACACACACACACACACACACACACACACACACACACACACACACACACACACACACACACATATACGCACAAACTCACACAGCACATGTCAATATAGTTTTGGCTTTGTGCTCAATTTGATGTTTTTTCACCCTTGGGACAATGATACCATATTTATTTCACCTTGTAAATCCATATTCATGTTTTTGTGTTTTTTACGTTCATGTGTTTCATTTCAGGTGATTTACATTTACCCGGACAATGAGAAAAATTGTATACCTAAACAAAATATTAAACGTTAAGTGGTAGGATGCTACGTGGATCAGAGTACTAGATTGTGTTACATGTACTGTAAACATCAAAAATGTGTGTATTTGTGTCCTTCCTTGTGTCCTTCCATTTCAAAGCACATCTGGTGACCTCTACGGTGGTTTAGATTATTTAAAGCTTTCCACTACACCAGCTTTACAGATATAAACAGGCTAAAGTGTCATGGTTATATTATTTATGAGGTTGAAAATGTGTTACCTTAAATATTTTATTTGGGTGATTCTAACCCCTAAGTGGGCTGTGTTTGTGTCTGTGCTGTAGCTACCTGATGTGACCCTGTGTGTTTTGTTTCTCTGCAGGACTCTATGGGCGGCTCTCCCAACGACATTCGTATCTCTGACATGAGGCCCACCCTGGTGGAGCCCCCTATGTACAAACCAAAGGTGGTGCTGCTGGGGAAGGACAAGAAAGGTACTGTATGAGATGGTTTAATGTAAAAAAGAAACACACAAAGACTCAAACACATTAGTTAAGACACATGGGTGCAAACACACACAAAGTAATTTAATGCGGTCTATTGTGAAGCGCTGTGGGGCATGTTGTAATAGTGTCCACTAATTAGTCATGGTGGTAAGCGGATTAATTTCAGAGTGGGAGGAAACACCATAAACCTCTACAGTGAATCTGAATAGAAAGTGTTCAGCTTTTACTTATTTTGCCCTGAAGGCCTCGGTTTCATCAGAGGTACACTAAAGTTTAAATTATGCACCCAAAGCTTATTTTCCTGCCCTATCAAAATCTGCTTTTGTTTTGAATAATTTACTGCTTTAATCCAGTCGACTGAACGAAACAGTTTGTTATATCTCACAGGCTCCGCCCTCTACTGGACTCTATGGGTACTACCCCTTGACCTTACTATGCGAGCGTTCACCTACTGAGATATCTTTAAACGTAGCCGGCCCTCGGGGCAGGCCTACCTGAGTGCGCGCGCAAGCCCACCTTATATAAGGCGGCCTCGCCTCCTGACTGTCATCCTTTTCTCTTCAGCGAGCAGGATAAACAACTGAGAGAGCGAAAGAGAGAGAAGAAGATCGAGCAAAGAATGGAAAACTTACCAGTCCTCGAGCACCGACCCTGTCCTACGTGCACTGGCCTAATCACAGGGGCCGATCCCCACCGCCTGTGTTTCGAGTGTCTGGGGCCTGAACACGCTCCTCCTGTAATGCCTGCCGGATGCAACTTAGCAACTTACAACTTACAACTTAGCCGCCGGCACTGCATGGAGAATTTTCAGTTCTACTATGGGTCGCCGGAGGACCACGTGTAGGGTGGTTACCGCTCCCCCCACCACTGTGGTGGCAGAGTGGGCCACCAGGGAGTACCACAGCTTCCTAGCTGTGGCTCCACAGCGGATTGCTCATCCCCTAACACAATGTTATGTGGAATGGAAGCACAGCTGTATACTAACAGAGTGGATGGACAGGACGCTGAAACGGGGTTATACACTTCAGTTTTGCAGTATCCCTCTCTATCTACCATCCCAGGAGGTGATAGGTTTTCTTTCAGCAGAGATTCAGACCCTGCTACAAAAACAAGTGGTGTCTGTTGTGCACCCCCAGCACAGGGAGAAGGGGCTTTATTCTATGTTCTTCCTGGTTCCCAAGAAGACAGGAGAATTCAGACCCATCCTAGATCTCTGCAGCCTAAATCGGCACATCGCCTGCAAGAAATTCCAGATGGGGCTGGTGCAGCCGGGCGACTGGTTTACAACCAACGCTTACTTTCATGTCGAAATTGTTCCAAGACACAGAAAGTATTTGCGTTTTGCCTTCCAGGGGATAGCCTACGAGCACAACAGGCTGCCGTTTGGCTACTCTCTATCCCCACGCACGTTCAGCAAATGTGTGGCCACGGCACTTCAGCCGCTTCGCGACCATGGCATGAGGTTTTTCTTTTATCTGGACGACCTCATAGTCATGGCCAGGTCCAGGGAATGGGCAATGTTTCACACAGCCCAATTGATCCTACACCTAACCAAGTTGGGTTTTGCGGTCAATTGGAAGAAGAGCAATCCCATACCTCACTAGCAGGTGCAGTATCTAGGGATGGTGCGCGATGCAGGCAGGCTATGCGCCACCCTGTCAGAAAGCAGACAGGCGTCCCTGCTGCGGGCAGTTCGCAGACTGCGACAGGGGGCAACGGTGACAGCTTTGACCATCATGCAGACTCTGGGTCTCATGGCGGCTGCTCACTCCGTGGTGCCGCTGGGGTTGCTGCATATGCGCTGCCTGCAAAGGTGGTTTGCCGGCCTTCGTTTAGATCCCAAGAGGCACAAACAACGTCTGGTGACTATCCCCCCCTCAGTGGTGGGCAACCTCCGGTACTGGGGGTCCCCAGTACATCTTCAGAGGGGAGCTCCGCTGGGGCGAGTGACCTCTTACATTACGGTGTTCACAGATGCATCCGTGACAGGATGGGCTCTGACGGAGACTCAACACAGCAACCTCCTAGAGCTGCGGGCAGTAGGGTTGGTCCTCCAGCACTTCAAACCCGTAATACAGGGCAAACATGTGCTGGTGAGTAGCACATGTTTATAACGGCACCACAGTGGCGTACATCAACAGGCAGGGCGGAGTCTGCTCCGCCGCCTTATTGACCACAGCAGAGAACCTGTGGTTATGGGCCTCAGAGATTGTGTCCACATCCCGGGACTGGATAATAGGGGGACCGGCCTCATGTCAAGAGGCGGGCCCCTGCCAGACGAGTGGGTGCTTCACCCGGAGGTGGTGAAGCAGATCTGGGCCTGGTTCGGGAAAGCAGAGGTGGACCTGTTCGCCAACCTGAAAAACAGCCACTGTACTATGTGGTTTTCCGCCCTTGGGGGTGGACGCGTTTGCACACGAGCCATGGCCAAGCTGCTCTACGCCTTTCCACCGCTGCGCCTCATTCTCCCCCTCCTGGAGAGGTGAGACGAGAACATCTGTCAGTCATCCTAGTGGCCCCAGACCGCTGCGTGGCGCTGTGGTTCGCGGAGGTGACACAGATGATGTTGGGCCAGCCCTGGGCAGTTCCTCAGGTCTGGGGGGTGATGTCTCACGAGAATGGGGCAATAGGGGCATTACCCTCTCTGGGCCAACCTCCCCAGGCTTGGCTCCTGAGAGGGACAGGCTGAGACAGGGGGGATTGTCTGACGAAGTTATCCAGACTATCCAGGCAGCAAGAGCAGGATCCACCACAGCCTGTTACAGGCCAAAGTGGTTGGGATTCCAGCGATGGTGTGAAGAGGGAAGTCTAGAGCCCTTATCTTGTACGCTGGGCTCTATTCTGTCCTACTTACAGTTACTGGTGGACAGAGGGCTTGCTTATTCCACAGTTAAAGTGTATGCAGCAGCCATTTCATTCTGTCATGAGGGATTTGGTGGCAGGTCCGCCTTCAGTCAGCCGCTTATGTCGCGGTTTTTGCAGGGGGTCAGGAGGCAGCGCCCAGTAGTGCACGCCTCCGCCCCGCAATGGGACCTGCCGTTGGTGCTCGAGGCTCTGGTCACAGAACCATTTGAGCCTCTAGAGCTCTTCTCCCTGAAGGCGCTGTCATTAAAAACAGCGTTGCTGCTGGCCCTGACTTCTGCCAAGAGAGTGTCCGAACTGACCGCTCTGTCGGTACACTCGAGTTGCCTGTGGATCCGGGGTGACCGTAGCGGAGCTTAAGGAGTTCGTTCAGGTCAAGGGCTATACAGCTGGGCGGCTTTAGTCTTCCACCCCATATTGGGGACAGGGAGGCTAAACTGCACCTCCTCTGCCTGGGAGCCTTCCTCACTATTTTCCATGCACACTCCGTTGTGCCCCTTTGTTAGGGAGCTTTCTGTGAAGTGATTAAAACTCAATCAGCTTGTCTGTACATTCCTAATGAAGGATCTTGTGGTAAAGTTAATAAGAAGCTATCTTTTGTTTGGTTGGTCAGGATCTTAATAGGTTTTTGAGTCATGATGATGCATTCTTGAATTAAATAGAACTAGTGTGGGTTAATAAAGATTTTTAACTGTTAAACCCATTTTTTCTCTAACCAGGCCATGTGCAGTGGACTCAATATTGTACACACACATATGAGAGCGCTACAGGAATCTGGGTTAAGAAACCATAGACAAGAAATACATTTGATTTCTCTGCGTCAGTCACATACCATTTACAGGATTCAATGCAATTCAGCCTAAACATCATTCTGGATACACTTTCTGATGCTGTTATAACTCTCATTAGCTTTTGATCTCCAAGTTAAAAGTTTCAACATCCGAATAGTGAGCTGGAATTTAGGATAATTGCTTTGTCCTAATAAAGGGTTTGTTTCTTTCCATAAGAATACAATTGTGAAATAATTTGTTTGGTTTCGTTGTGAGGATCATTGATCAACTCTGCCATAGGTTTACTTTACAACCCTTTTCCTGTTGCCCTCTTGACCTAAGACTTACACACAAGAACACAAACAAAAATCCCTTATATTATTATTTTGTTTTTGATTTATCAATAAAAGTTTATTTTCTTTTTTTAAATAGATTGGATGAAATATACACAAACAAAAACAAAAAAAATAAAAATATATATAATAGCTAATATATATTTTCATTTGGAAATAATACATGTTGCACATTTTTGCTCAACACATGGTTTAATTAGTATCATTTTTATAAAAATTGGTCTTGATTAGTTAATCAAGACTCCTTCACACATTGATGGGGTTCCAGTTTCACTGATTTCACTTTTTAAAGGCAACACGTGGCCACAGGCTAAGGATTAAGCTAATAGCTTTGGGTAGAGCTAGCAAAAACCCATCGGGTCTAGTTCATCCCATTTAAACACAAAATCAATAAGATGTTGAGCATATTTTATTAAATAAAAATGGAAATTAGCCAGACAACACAGCCCCCAGGTTCATCAGGGCACACAAACCTCTCTACCACGGTAAGGTGCTGGTTCTTCAGAGAGGCCATGGCAAATTGGTCTCAGGCAAGGGGCCAGACTAAGATTGGTTCAAAAGACCTCATGAAAGAAAAACCAGGAAGTGAGGATACCCGGCCCGGAGGAAGCCCGGGGTCCCCTTCTGGAGCCAGGCCCAGAAGGAGGACTCGTCGGCGAGCGTCTGGTGGCCGGGCTTGCCACGGAGCCCGGCCGGGCACAGCCCGAAAAGGCAACGTGGGCAACACCTCAGCTTCTCCGTCCCGCAGGCCCACCACCTACGGGAAACAGCGATGGGGTCGGGTGCGCTGCCAGAAGGCTGGCAGTGAAAGCATAGGGTCTCGACGGACCAAACCCGGGCGACAGAAGCTGGCTTTGGAGACATGGAACGTCACCTCTCTGGGGGGGAAGGAGCCGGAGCTTGTGCGGGAGGTGGAGCGTTACCAGTTGGATCTGGTTGGGCTCACCTCTACGCACAGCGTCGGCTCTGGAACCTTACTTCTGGATAGGGGTTGGACTCTATTCTTCTCCGGAGTTGCTCAAGGTGTGAGGCGCCGGGCGGGTGTGGGGATACTCGCAAGTCCCCGGTTGGGTGCTTCGTTGTTGGAGTTTACCCCAGTGGACGAGAGGGTCGCCTCCCTACGCCTGCGGGTTATGGGGGGGGAAAACTCTGACTGTTGTGTGTGTTTATGCACCAAACAGCAGTTCGGAGTATACGGCCTTCTTGGAGACCCTGGAAAGAGTCCTGTATGGGGCTCCTGAAGGGGACTCTTTAATCTTGCTGGGAGACTTCAACGCACATGTGGGCAATGATGGAGACACTTGGAGGGCCGTGATTGGGAGGAACGGCCCCCCTGATCTGAACCGGAGTGGTGGTTACTGGACTTCTGTGCTAGTCATGGATTGGCCATAACAAACACCATGTTCGAACATAAGGATGCTCATAAGTGTACATGGTACCAGAGCACCCTAGGCAGAAGGTCCATGATCGATTTCATTATCGTATCGGACCTGAGGCCGTATGTTTTGGACACTCGGGTAAAGAGAGGCGCGGAGTTGTCAACTGATCACCATCTGGTGGTGAGTTGGGTCGAGTGGCGTGGGAACAGTAGCGTGGCGTGGGGAAAAAATTAGGGGAAGCCAATAATACGTCCTTTCTTTTGGGTCGGGGGTGTGGTGGTCAATGTAATAACGTAACCAGATGAGTGATTACAGTACCCGGTATCATTTTACACACATTTGTATCAGATGCAGGACTTACACACACCTGTTATCTAACCGACAGGTCCGCACGCACTCTCCAGCCGAAACTCTAATAAGCATTCATTCACAAACTAAATCAGGAGACCTTTAACGTTTTACGTCCGATTCGCTCCTTTTTTCCTCGCTGTACACAGCTCCAGTTTGGGCATTGGCCTGGCATCAGATTGTATTTGTTGTTGCTGCTGTAGCGGAAGTTTAGTACAATTATTTTTGATGAAATACTCCAAATCTCCACCCTCCATAATTGCACTTGCTTCAGTTGCTTGCTACTTTCTAACGGTGGTGAGAGTGGTGCAGTGACGCTATCTATCTTCTATCGATTAGATTTATGATTCGAAAATTATAAAAGTAGGGTAGACATGTGGATATTATCCGACTGAACAAAACTTGCATTTATCTAATGCTCGTTTCGTTTTCCACTGACCTTATTTCGAGCTATTTTCCTAAATCCTATGGAGAAATCCCATTGCTTTTTTGTCGAGGGAAACCGAGCGCAGCTTACTTCCGGGTTTTAGGATGCGTCACTGCAACACTAAGTTGATGCGATTTGATTGGATTGTGAGGCAAGGGAAGCCAGCCGCCTCTGGCTTCCCTTGGCATGGCCCTGACCAATCACAGGTTGGCAGGGGCATCACGTGAGCCTCATCTGATTGGCCAATCCCTCAATTTTTTTTCACCAAGGGAAGCCAGATTCGTCTGGCCTCCTCTCGCAACAGTGAGTGCAATCTACTGTTTCACCAAAACATCTAGAGGTGCGCTGTTTGTTTCACTCTTTGTAAAATACTCAATGAGAATGGGGGAGAGACGGGCCGGCAGCAACACACAGCAAAGGAGAATTATCTAAACAAAACAAAGTGTTTTTATTTAAATTATAACTACAATCCGAAAAAACAGGGGAAGCCTGGCTTCCCTTGGCCTCCAGGAGAAAACGCCACTGCGTGGGAAGCCTCTGGATAGACCTGGTAAGCCCAAACGTGTATTTCGGGTGAACTGGGAACGTCTGGAGGAGGCCTTCAACTCACACCTCCGGCGGAGCTTTTCGGGCATTCCTGTGGAGGTTGGGGACATTGAACCAGAGTGGTCGGTGTTCAAAGCCTCTATTGCCGAAGCCGCGGCGGGGAGCTGTGGTCTCAAGGTCTTAGGTGCCTCAAGGGGCGGTAACCCTCGAACCTCCTGGTGGACACCGGTGGTCAGGGAAGTCGTCCGACTGAAGAAGGAGGTCTTCAGGGATTTGTTATCCCGGGGGACTCCCGAGGCAGTTGCAAGGCACCGACAGGCCCGAAGGGCAGCAGCCTCAGCAGTGGCCGAGGCAAAGCGGCGGGTGTGGGAGAAGTTCGGAGAAGACATGGAAAAGGACTTTCGGGCGGCACCAAAGTTGTTCTGGAAAACTGTCCGACACCTCAGGAGGGGGAAGCAGGGAACCATCCAAGCTGTGTACAGTAAGGATGGGACGTTGTTGACTTCAACTGATGGAGTGTTAGGGCGTTGGAAGGAACACTTTGAGGAACTCCTGAACCCGACAACTCTGCCCTCTATGTTAGAGGCAGAGCTGGAGTATGACGGGGGATCAGTGCATCTGACGAAGAGATAGGTTGTTGTGCTCCCTATCTCTGTTTATTATCCTATATCTAATAGAACTGCTCGGGTCTTGATAGATTGAATGGGGAAGTTCATGAGATCTTTCTAGAGGGTTATCAAGAATAACTTTTATCCAATTACCTTTTCCCTCTCTGTCTGTGTCTGTGTATTCTCTTGTTCCGATTAACCCAGCCAAATCTTTTTTCTTGTTTTGTATCTATATCTACGCCGGGAACCGGAGTCAAGGCTGATCCTCTTTCTGTAGTCCTGTGTCTTGGATCCTCTATCCTGAGTTCTGGATTAAGTCGTGGACTTCGGGTCGTGGCTGAAACTGTCTCTGCGGTCCTGCCTTGGGTCTCGTCATGCTGCTTCCCTGATGGCTTCCACAGGATTGTAGCTGACATCCTCGTGGATTCATCTTCTTATTACAGACACATGCATTTCCTAACATTCGGTCTATATGCTGTAAAATGTATTATCTCTTCGATTTACACACGGCATCTATTGCACGTCTGTCCGTCCTGGGAGAGGGATCCCTCCTCTGTTGCTCTCCCTGAGGTTTCTCCCATTGTTTCCCCTTAAACTGTGGGTTTTCTCTGGAAGTTTTTCCTTGTACGATGTGAGGGTCTAAGGATAGAGGGTGTAGTTTTTCTCATACTGATATTCTGAACAATCTGTGCTGTTGTATTTGCTGTAAAGTGTCTCTACTGTAGGCTATTTTTATTTTATGTACAGCACTTTGGCTCGACTAAAAATCGTTTAGAAATGTGCTATATAAATAAAACTTGATTTGATTTGTTCAACACCAATCTCCCGGGGGGAGGTCACTGAGGTCGTCAAACAACTCCACAGTGGCAAATCCCCCAGATCCGCCCAGAAATGCTGAAGGCTCTGGGTGTTGAGGGACTGTCATGGTTGACACGTCTCATCAACGTTGCGTGGAAGTCGGAAACAGTACCGAAGGAGTGGCAGACCGGGGTGGTGGTTCCCCTTTTCAAAAAGGGGGATCATAGGGTGTGTGCCAATTACAGAGGCATCACACTACTCAGCCTCCCCGGGAAAGTTTACTCTAAGCTACTCGAAAGGAGGGTCAGGCCGATTGTCGAACCTCAGATTGAGGAGGAACAATGCAGATTCCGTCCTGGTCGTGGAACGACGGATCTGCTTTTTACTCTAGCAAGGATCCTGGAGAGTGCGCTTATCCGGTCTATGTGTTTTGTAGACTTGGAGAAGGCGTATGACCGAGTTCCCAGGGAGTTACTGTGGGAGGTGCTGCGGGAGTATGGGGAGAGGAGGTCTCTACTCAGGGCCATCCAATCTCTGTACTTCAGCACTCACTGGATCGGTTCGCAACCGAGTGTGAAGCGGCTGGGATGAGGATCAGCACCTCCAAATCTGAGGCCATGGTTCTCAGCAGGAAACCGATGGACTGTCCAATCCAAGTAGGGAATGAGTCCTTACCCCAAGTGAAGGAGTTCAAGTATCTCTGGGTCTTGTTCTCAAGTGAGGGAACAATGGAGCGTGAGATTGGCCGGAGAATCGGAGCAGCGGGAGCGGTACTGCAGTCGCTTTACCGCACCGTTGTGACGAAAAGGGAGCTGAGCCAGATGGCAAAGCTCTCTGTCTTCCGGGCCATTTTCGTTCCTACCCTCACCTATGGTCATGAAGGATGACCGAAAGAACGAGATTGCGGATACAAGCGGCCGAGATGGGTTTTCTCCGCAGGGTGGCTGGTGTCTCCCTTAGGGATAAGGTGAGAAGTTCAGTCATCCGGGAGGGACTTCGAGTTAAACCGCTCCTCCTTCGCGTCGAAAGGAGCCAGTTGAGGTGGTTCGGGCACCTAGTTAGGATGCCACCTGGGCGCCTCCCTAGGGAGGTGTTCCAGGCACGTCCAGCTGGGAAGAGACCAAGGGGTAGAACTAGGACCAGGTGGAGGGATTATATCTCTTCGCTGGCCTGGAGCGCCTTGGGATCCCCCAGTCAGAGCTTGTTGATGTGGCCAGGGAAAAGAACGTTTGGGGCTCTCTGCTGGAACTCCTACCCCCGCGACCCGACCACGGATAAGCGGGAGAAGATGGATGGATGGATGGATGGATGTATATTTTCCTGAGATGATCACATATGTTAAGAAATCAGCTGATAACAGAAACTATTGACCTAGCATATTCGTAGATCATTATCAATGCAAGCGATATCTTAATTTGACATGCGTTATGATAAGGATTTGATTAAATCAATCAAATCCAGGTGTATAAGATACAGACAAGTGGTTATTTTTTCAGAAAAGGGCACTCTCTGTGAAAGAGGGCTATCAGAGTGAAAAGGATTTGACATTTTTCCCTGTCTGTCTCTGTGTCTCCGTCCAGAGTCTACAGATGAGGAGGTGGATAAGCTCCACTGTCTGAACCACAGCGGCTCCTCAGCCACCTACTCTGACTACTCTCCCTCACAGGGCTCCTCCGGCTCCTCTAACCCACCCGGGAACACACACTCACACGCACACTCTCACCAACACCAACACGCACACGCACACGCACACCCTCACGCACACCCACACACTCCCGCCCTGCCCGCCCCGAGCAAGGACCAGGCGCCTCAAACACACTGGACCAACAGGTACACACACGCCTGTTCATGTTCAATTTCATCACACCCCTCCGACTATCCATCATCTCTCCTTCTCCTTCCAGTCCAGTCTCCTCTATCTATCATTTATCTCATCCAGCTATCCTATCGCTCCATCCATCCTCTCCTCCCTCCATCTTTCTGTGTCTTCCTCATCCCTCCGTTCGCTTAGTCAAGGTCAGAGAGGCTCATTAGGATGCTGCAGACTCCTCTTCTGGATTATCTCGCTCCGCTCTGTTTCAAAGCTGTCCAGTCCCATCTTTTGTACTATCAAAAGGTTTTTTTTCACAATGACACATAAAAAGAAGCAAATAAAGAAGCTTGATCCTTTTTACGGACGTTGGTACCTTGATTGCACTGTACTTGTGATGGAGTTTGACAGATTTGGAGTTAAATATAGCTTTGTAAAGTAACAAAGAGCCTTTTGAAACTGAGTTGCAATCACAAATGTTGAAGTTAACAACATCTGAATCATATTATTGGCGTTTTCAGTAAAGCCTAAAAAAATCAAGATGTTAGCCCATAGACTGTACAGTAACCCCAGCAGGTCATTTTAAAAATAAATATACAGTTTTAAAGTTCTGTTTACAATACTTTCCAATACTGCTTTAACAGTATTTCACTATCACAGCATTGCTACTGTATATCTCTATTTATTTACTAATTTGTACTAATTTAAAACCTTGAAAATATTGACTTTTAACAGTAATATACAACGGCTAAAAATGACCAAACAACTCTAAGCTAGTACTTTCAGTGATCTGAACCTTCAATACTTTCATAGCCTCGGTTTGATTTGTTCGTTTCTATGTTCTTTCTCTCTGACACCACAGGGCCTGAACAGATATTTTGTGCGACAGTGACCTTTTCCATTATCAATGGCATAGTACATCTATAATAATGTCAAAAACATATTTCTTTGTCCCCACTCTTCCTTTGCCTCTCCTTGTTCTAAGGAGTCCCTGCAGGTTGAATGCTCGCTTTGGTATTTTTTGACATTCAAGTTGTCATTTCACAAGCCCTGGGGAGATGTGCAGATGGTTATCTGTACACTTGTTCCTTTGTCAGTGTAAAATGTGGTATTTGCAAATTGCGAGTGGCGGTGAAAGCACTAATGTTTTCGGTTCAAGGCTGCTCTCGGAAACATTAGTTACAACAAACATGGTTGTTCACCAAATTGATCTTCCAGAGAGACATCAGAGATAGGGACAGAAAGGTCTGCTGTTTTAGTGCCCATCGTCTCAGATTAAATATACAGAACATAGTAATGTAGTATATTTCAGTCCATTTTCATTATCTTCCACAGCATAATTAGTGTTTAATCTTCTGTATCTTTTCAGACTGGCTCAGTCCTTCCCCAAACCCATTGACTCCAAGCCCCTGCTATCTCAGAGAGAAACCCCTCCATCAGGAACCCTGCAGCAGCGTGGGGATCGACGCCCACTGAGTGAGCCTTTTGATTGGGCCGAGGCCCCGCACTACGACAACACAGGATTTGATGCTGAGGAGTCTCCTATGGACCCTTCATTAACCAGTCAGGGAAACCCCCCGCTGGGCTCCAAACCCCGCAGCCAGTCAGCACACGGGCGGCGCCCCCTCCTCAGGCAGGAGCGGATCGTAGGGGTTCCTTTGGAGCTGGACACTCAGACGCTCCCCTTCCACGGCAACCAACGCTCCACTCCGGACAATGACCAACAATCATCCGGACATTCTTCCCAGAATCCCTGGCAGAACTGGACCAGAACCCCCAGTCCCCTAGAGGACCGAACCGCTTTTCCCTCCAAACTGGACCTGACGCCCACATCCAGTCCTAACCCTGATCGCAAGGACATTGACCAAAGGTAACTGATTGGAGCTCACATGGTCCTGAAATGTGCATTTACATTATACATCAGGCTGGGGGAATTATGGTTTTGATTTGTCCGTCTTGATGCAGATTCACAAAATTTGACAACTTTCGGATTTTAAATAATTTGAATTAAAACACTTACATTTTAATTTAATGTTAATAATTTGATTGATAAAGTGATACACCTGTAATGACAGTAGTTATTATCTGCAGCCCTAACCTAATAATGTTAATCTCTGAGTGTCACTGCTGTATTACAAACCAACTGATGTTGGTTGTAATATAATAATCTAGACCAAAATAGTAGCATAATATGTGCTTCATATCATTATGAAGCTCCTGGAACCCCTTGTTCATTTTTGGTTCAAGGCATAAGGACAGTGTCAGCAATCTTTTTATTTGTTCCGCTTCTACAACACTAGTCTAGTTAAGCTATTTTTAACACTTTACCTGTTTTTGGCTCCAAGGCTGGAACAAGGTGCAGGGCCTTTGCCCGGCAGCTGGACGTACCACGACAATCAAGGGGATCAGAACAGGAAGGATCAGCTAAGTGTTAGCGGGGGCAACAAGGTCACCGTAGTGATGAGTAAAAGCTCGGACCGCCTGTCCCCCATGATGAGGGAGACGAGATCTAAGTTTAAGAAGTCACAGAGTATCGATGAGATTGACATTGGCTCTTACAAGGTCTACAGGTAGGTTTGCTGTTATGTTTTCCTAACAATAAGAGAAGCAACATGTTAAGTAAGTAGTTCAAGGGATTGCAAAGATGTAGCTGATTTATCTTGCTGTTCTCAACAGCATTCCTGTGGACAGCTACAGTACCTCCATTGAACAACAGACTAGTTTGGACCGTCAAGAGTTTGTCGGGTCAATGGAGCAGACCAACATGTCACGGTCACAGTCCGCCCCCATGTTAGACGATGACCTGATCTTCCCAGGACACGGCGGCAGCAACCAGTCGGGACAGAACCAGAAACCTGCCATCCCACATAAGGCCTATCACTTCGACCACAACTACAACCCCCAGGTCAGCAGCTCAATCTTCAACCTGCAATGACTGTCATCCTTATCATTTTGTTCACTTGAGGGCAGCAGAAAACAGTTGTACCACATTGACAGATCATTACCTGTATGGTGAGCTAGTTAGTTAACTGTTTTTATACCTATTAAACATCCAATAGTTAAAGAGCAACATTGTTTAATTTCGAGTTGTGTCTCTGGAACCCAGGCTAATATTTATTCTCTTATACAGTAGCTCTGCTCTTGGGTACAATCTCCTGAGTGAAATATCTGGCACTTTGACTGCTAATTACTCCACTATCCCACCAGTGCTCATTTGTTTGACTATTTGTTTTTCGGATAGCTGAAGTGTTAAAGTTGCCAGCAGCAAGGTGAAAAGATAAACCTTCGGCAGTCAGCAAAGATAATTTCCAGGGGCTTTTAAGTCACTCATATAATTTACAATCTTCTTGCAAAAATAACTCAACTAAAATATACATAAATTGCAACAGTTGTGCCTGCAATGCCTATAACTTCTCATTGTCTTACTGGTTACTATTCTAACTAATCAGGTGACCATAGACCGCCGGGTCCCTCCCCCCTTCCCCAACACACCAGATTATGTCAACCACTCATCGAAAGCCTTGGAGTACATCAATCAACCGGGGAAGACATTACCAAAGGAGCTGGTGAGCCCTCGGTATCGGGCGTATCCACCACTGGAGATGTTTTCTTTCCCCCAATCACCAATCAATCCGGATGGTCCGCCCAGCCAGCCTCAGCAGCCAATCCCGTCACAGCGCTCCAGGCCAGGGTTTTTGAGAAGAGCAGATTCATTGGTGAGCTCCACAGAGCTTGCTTTGTTCCGCAGAGTCCATGAAGCCCAACAGGAGGCGCTGCAGGAAGCTCAGTATAGACAGCAGGTAAGAGATCTGTTGTTGGCTAAATAATGCTTATTTTCAGTGTTTTAGTATTATAAAACAAGAAATTAATTTATCCAATCAATAGGACCTACAGAAAAGCTGTCGGTTATATTTATACTGTGTCGTGCATCCTCCAAAAATACATTTCTAGTGAAATGTAGAGGTCCGTAAGAGTTATAGAAGTAAACTCTCTTGTCCTCAGGCTGACCCCCCTCTTTATGGTCGGGCTCTGGCCTACTCCTCCGCCATGGAGCACTCTGCTATCTCCAACATGTCCGACAGCCAGAGCCAGATGATGCACAATAAGAGAAACGGCCGCTACGATGACGACTATACAACTTACCATGAACAAAAGAAGCCCATGATTGGTTACCCAACAAAGAGCCTTACTCAGCGCCGCCCCCTGTCAGCCAGGAGCTACAGCACTGAGACTTATGGAGCATCTCAGGTAACATTTCTCAGGAAATGCCTTTGTAAATTGTTTAATCTCTGTGTCTTTGCATGTTTGTCCCACTTAAAGTCACTAATTTGTTTTAAATTGCAATCCCATAATATCCCCTTGTAAAGTGTGAGGCATGTATCAATTAAAGCAATTAAAAGACACTTTATTAATCCCTTTTTGGGAGTATAATTTTCACTCTGTAATTTTAACACATTACACCCGAAATACACACATGCATAAACAAGACCTATACACATACATTAATCAAGAGTGAGGGCGCTACAGATGGTAAGGCGCCCTAGGCAGTTGAGGGTTCAGTGCCTTGCTCAAGGACACCTCAGGAGGGCAAACTGGCCCCTCTCCAGCTCCTAGATCACAATACTTATTTTTGTCCGTGCGCCCCCTAGTATAAGGATCACTGAGCAGCTATTATATACACGACCTGGGGAGCAGTGTAGGGGCCCACTGCCATGCTTAAGGGCCCCTCATCACAAGTTGTTCCAGGACTTTATCCGGTTTTGATTAGTAAATGTACTTTTACATTAACAGAATAGACTGAATAAAAGAAGTGGATGTTATCACCGTAAAGTCGCGCATTTGTTTTATTGACCACCATTTTGAATCCTCAAGATTTGTATTTTGGCTACCGCCATCTTGGCTTTTTGAAAACAGAAGTAACATCAAGAGGGTGTTGGTTTAATGCGGAACAAGACTTTGATACTGGAGACTGAAGGTCTACATCCTGTCTCCTTACAAAATCATTTATTTCCCACCCTTTTCCAAGTAGATTGAAAATGAAACCCTATTTGGGTAATATGGAAGATACTGACAAATAGCCTACTTAATAATAGAGGATTGAGGTATTAAAGTATGTATATGACTGAGTGGAACCACCAATTACCTTGGTCCAGGTCAATGTAGCAGCAGGCTATGCAGAGTAGCGCAGGTGTGTCCTTTGCTTCTGCCATATCCCCAAGACCCCCTGGCATTCCTACATCCATAAATAATCCCATCAGCATGTTCTGGATTTGCACCAAGTTAGACTTTCCAAAAATAGTCCCAGGTGAGGTGAGGTATCGAGGAGCATGCTGGTCAGATAAGCAAATCACTTCATGTGGAACCCCCTAAATGGCTGACAGTGTGGAAGAAATATTTGTTATTATACAACAAAGACAGCAGGTCTCCCTTGAAAAAGAGATCATTGATCTCAATGGGATTTTACCTGGATAAATAAAGGTTTTGAATTGAAAAAAATTCAATGCGCAGCAATTTACAGTAGCATTTTTAAATTAATAATTATAATACATTTAAAAAAACGTTTAATCCAGTGGTTCCCAAAGTCCCCCCCTCGGGGGCGCAGAGGCATAACAGGGGTGGCGCGAGAGACCAGGAGGAAAAATGGTTATTTAAAAAAAAAAAAAAAATCATAATTTGAAAAATTATTGATCGAAAATAATATGATACAGTACTATTACGTCTGGGTCTCTATGTTTCATAAAAGCTTGGCTCTGTGTGTGTGTGAAACGAGCCATTTTGTATGCGCGAGCGAGAGAGAGCACACCGGTACCGGAGATCATTGTTGTTAGCTTCTGGTGCTAGCGAGCTACGCTAACGGATATAAGGAGTTTTTTCAACAACAAAGTGGAGGAGAGTCCTCTCCTGTCAGACTGAGAGACTCAGTGAACTAAAGGACTCTCTCAGTGTTATCTCAGTGGGTATCAAATGTTTTGGTTACCATTAATGGAAACAATTATTTCCGAGGCACACGTTTATATGATCATTATAGTTATACAAAAAAGAGAATACATTAAAAACAGGTATGAAATACTATATGACAATAAAAAAAGAATAAAGTTTAAAAGGGTGATTTGTAAAATATCCATAAAGAAAAAGGAAATCTGTTTACAGTTCTGTTTTATATGGGTGTTGAGAGAGGTATCCATAGATCTCTTCATTTTGCTCTCAAAATGCACCAGATTGATGCATTTAACTTCAATATTTAAAAATAAATCTTCCCAGGGGAGCTTGCCCCCGGACCCCCCTATGTAAGGTCCACACACCACCTATAAAAATAGCACTTTACCCCTGCTTACACCTATATGCCGTGAGCTGATTATCGAGCCTTCATTGTAACAGTTGCGGGTACGTTGTGTATATGCGTGGGGATTGTTGCAGTAGAAAATTCCACTGTAGCGACCGGTACATTAATGGGAACCCCTAAATGTTTGAGCACCCTCTATGAAACATCAAGCTACCCCACAGCACCCCCAAAATAAATCTCTGGCGCCGCCACTGAGCCTGACCTGTGTTGGGGGGTCCGACTTTTTTTTCTCCAAAGGGGGGGCCTGACAGAAAAAGTTTGGGAACCACTGGTTTAATCAATAAGATTTGTTTCCCATTTTTTTTTTATTAAGTCATTCAATCATCTTTTTTTTTATTTAACAGCCCTAAACTGTTAGCCATGCTAATAGCTTGGCTCTAGGGATTTGAATTGGTGCTAATCCTCAGTGGGTTGGTCCCTATCATACTTAATAGTCCTTTTTCTACCATTGTTTAAAAAATATACACTGCACTAACAACTATATTGATAAGTGCAGCTATTAATTGTATCACTCTCAAGTCCAACTTAATTTCTTATCGTCTTTATAAAATAATAATCTTCAGGCCCGTCCAGTGTCAGCTCGTCCCACCATGGCTGCCCTGCTAGAGAAAATGCCCCCTGACTACACTCTGGCAACCTGCCCAGAGAAACCATCTGAAGACACCATCAAAGTAAGACCTGGCGTACCACAGAAGCCTGAAGACATCACCTCCAGGATGCCTGCCGATTGGAGGCAACAGCTACTTAGGCACATAGAGGCCAAACGATTGGACAGGGTACGTCAATGCAATGCAGAAACAGTGAAAAGGGAGATGCAAACACACACACACTCACACACACAAACACCAACATGCACACACAGCATTCAGAAGCCCTCCTTGTCTGTACTGTATCTGTGTAAGTCTGTGTTGTAAGGTTGACTAGATGTGTCCGGCTGCATGTGTGTCCCATCCACACTGTCGCTCTGTCAGCCTGACCTTCTGCACACTCACTACTGGATATGTGCCCGAAGAAATCCTGTCTTGAAACACAATTCAACAAAATCTGAATTGTGACGAAGAGTTTGATCTTGAGTAGTAACAAGAGGAGCATATATTAGAAAAGGTTCTTGAAACAAAAATGTTTTTCGATGTTTGATATTTTCACATGTACATCAGAATTAACACAATCACTTGTTAAGGATCATAAGTATTTTTTTATCAAGTCACTACTTATATCGTCTATTAATCAACACTGATCAAGGGATCAATAGTTTGGCAGGTTTGGCAGTCCAAACTATTTCCGTACATGGGTGTGTTATTAGTCTTCAAAAAACAACAAATGTCGGCATTGAATGAGTTTTCGATGTTGCTAACAATGAAGCATTTAATAGACATAGATGTTAATAGATATTTGTAATGATCAGTTTTCAGTTACGGACTTGGCTTATAGTTTGTGTAAAAATCCACACATGTAACTATATAACTAATTATAATTCTTACACAGTAATGTTGGAATTAATTGATCCACCATAGTTGCTTGTATGACACAATGTTCTTTGTCTGTATTGACCAATCACGAGCTAACATTTCTCTGTGCTTTCAGCAACTCTGCACTGTTGTTGTTTTATCAGTGTTTTTGTTGTTTATTTATTTGTGTGGAGCTCACAGTGTGTCACCACGCTGCATCCCGCTGTGTGAGCCCCGCCCCCCTCCCCCTGCATTCACCCATGTGATGTGATGTTGTCTTCTCCAATCAGAGTGGTGTCCTAAAGCACAACACGCTCACGCTGGGCATGCTCTGTCAGGGCGGGGGTCATGGCCAGGGGCGCAGCAGCACTTTGAACTTTAACCTTTACAATAACACTAAGCATGAGTCCCCTGTTGGCCGCTGGCTGCCTCTACCTCCTCCTCCATCTGCTAATGCCGTGAGTATCCCTCTGAGAACAAACAAACCCTGGTTCTCCTTCTATAACTGCACACATCGGCAATTACGAAGAATAACTGTCATTGCTCATTCCTCATTGTTGCAACCATGAGATATTATTTAAATTTGCGCCATTATTGCTTTTATTATTTCGATAGCTAGCTTGTCTACAACCTTATCGAAACACTGGGTATTTTACGCCCTTAACTCTGGCATGTTTTTTTCAACATGACTGAAGCCACTTGTAGCATCAAGTGTATAGCAGCCACAACAAATTCTGGTGATGGATTGGTTTTTCAAGTGTTTGGACTCAAAAGTAGACACATACAACATTTTAAGGTAACCAAAACAGAGATTTGTCTTTGCCATCCGAGAATAGTTTCCTGGTAAACTATTGGGAGATATTTGACACATAGAGCTGTTGGGCGTTGCATGTCTACATCCACCATTTCTATTACTACCCTTGATACAAATAAAACATAGTCACCGTTTTGACCTTGAAACACTTAAAAGGCCCTGAAAACTCAAACTGGTTCCTACATTGTTTATCGGAGGCTTCGTAAGAATCCCGTTTTGTGCCAAACAGTAATGGTTTTTATTTCACATGAGATTTAATCAAAAATAATTTTGTTCCCTCTTTTTTTAGTGTTTGGAAGTGTGTGTGACTTAGTTGAGCCATTCAGGGTCCAGCAACATTTGAATCTGAATCTGTTGACAGTTGCAATCAAACCACACAGTCCTGATGAAACATGAGCTGATATACTAACTGTTGGTTATTTCATCGTGAATATTTACTCTAATGTTGCTGAAAAATGAAGCCAGGCTCTCAGGGGTTGAGACAAGAGGCTTTGGTGCTAAAAGAATGTGATATATTTGGATTCTATTCTGAAAAAGCATTTTTCACCTTTATCAGGTAATACACAATACAGTATATAGCGCTACTTCAGCTAGGCGAGAACATCTATTTACTAAGCTGTGTCAGCCCTATGGTATAACAAAAAACTGAATTTCACAAAACAATCATATAAACCTGTCTCAGATAGGAATGGGTTGATACATGATTGAATTACTAAAATAAAAGTTTGATTGTGTCTCTCCTTTTTTTTGTGTCTCTCTCTCAGAGCCCCTCTCAGCAGGCTGCCATGCTGGATAATGACCAGGAGGGGCTGTCAGGGAGCAACCAGTGGGCTCCATACTCACTTGGCCGGAGGGATGTCCCACCTGACAACCTCATGAAAAAGGTAAGAGCTGGACTTATTTCTCAGTGTTCTGCCCTCTTTACCCAGCCTATAGATGTTTGGGATGTTGAAGCTTGGAAATAACTTGGGTTAATGTTTTTAAATGCAAATAATTAGGCGACTCCAATAACCATTCCTCTGTTCCTGAAGTTTAAATGTCTCAAACTTTCCTCTCCACTGTCCACAGAGTGCCCACTCCCACAACACTCCCCACCAATCACACAACACCATGATTGTCGCCTCCTCTACCTCCTCCTCGTCCACTACACCTCATCGTGTGGTTGTGCAGCAGGGCTACGACGGGATGATGAACAAAGGGGGCCAATACCAACCTGCAATGCCCTTGTCAGTGGTTCCTTCTGGACAGTATCAAGGCAACATGACTCAAGGTAAATGGAAATACATGTACTGTATACATGGTTCATTTGTAGCCTGTTATGATGTATTTGGGGGTTTAATCTAGATATACAAAACCAGTAGGATACCACTTTACGTTTTTTTTATTGAATGTTCTCCTTATTTTGAGGGGATCAGTGCCACCATCTCTTACAAAATTACTTAGAGAGAGATTATGTCTCTTTTCTCCTTTTTTTCATCAAAATGAGGTCATTGTACGTCTTCAAATAATGTATTTGTGCTAGATGTCACTGTTTTGCAAATCTTTAAAAGGATGCTGGTGAAAGAGCATACTGGATTTAAACCATATGTTGATTTTGTTGATTACAAACTGCTAGCTTCCAAAAAAAAATACATACAAAAATCAGCTTAAGCTACTGTTGCATAAAAAGTTGAATTGAAGTCAACTCAGTTTAGAACGTACAACTATCCAGTAACAACACAGGTCTATCGGTGTATAATTAAGTATGCCTACCAACAATGCTCCTCAAATCAACACTTTAACCTGTTATAGATAGTTTTATTTCAGAGTGTAACCAATCAAAAATGTTCCTCTTCCAGGCCATCCTGGTCCTGGACAGGGTTACCCCGGTGGCGGCATGTCCATGGCTCCGTCCCCGTCTGGGAACCAACCCCAGTACAACCCTCACTCCTCCCACACATCCCATCAGCCCGCCACCAACCCCCAGTACCACGGCAACCAGGGCATGGTCCACGGCAACCAAGGCATGGTCCACAGCAACCAGGGCATCGTCCACGGAAACCAGGGCATGGTCCACAGCAACCAGGGCATGGTCCACGGCAACCAGGGCATGGTCCACAGCAACCAGGTCATGGTGCATAGCAACCAGGGCATGGTACACAGCAACCAGGGAATGGTGCATAGCAACCAGGGGATGGTCCACACCAATCAAGGCATGGTCCATAGCAACCAGGCTGTCATGACCCACACCAACCCGCGGCCTCAGAGCGCTCGCTGCCTGTTGCAGACTAAAGGCCAGAAGAGCACGGATGGTTTCCAGGAACAGGTATCTGTCTGTCTGTCTGTCTGTCTGTCTGTCTGTCTGTCTGTCTGTCTGTCTGTCTGTCTGTCTGTCTGTCTGTCTGTCTGTCTGTCTGTCTGTCTGTCTGTCTGTCTGTCTGTCTGTCTGTCTGTCTGTCTGTCTGTCCGTCTGTCCTCAGCAACCCCGTCCCACACTATCTTGGAGGTCTGTTTTTTTAATTGGCAGTGCCTTATATTAATGGCTGACGATGGCTTGGAGTTACTTGAAACCGTGTTCCACACACTAAATGGTGCCTAGTGCGTCTGTATAAAGATGCTGACGCCCACTCCCTAGGCTTTGGGACTTAACACCTAAGGAGTGAAACCAGGAAAACAAACCAACAAGTACATTTTTCAATTCCTGTTGTTGTTAATATGCTAGTAACATGTCAATATGGTTACAAGTAAATTCTGAAGAGTCCATATAAGGCCAATAGCTGTCAACTAACACTATTATAGCTATTAGCACAAAACGTGAAAAAAACTGCGACACAGCCATAGTTTGTGAGATGATGCAGGTCTAGAAAAAGCCATGGAGGCGTAGTTCTAAATCTGAGATATTTCACAGATGGAGATCTCTGTACCAGTTTAGGTAGGAACATGAAGTCATTCACACCAACCAGATCAGCTGATCTTCCTGCAAGGTTTTTTTCCCCCTGCCAAACAAAAAAACTCAGACAAAGATATTTATGGCTCCGTTATAGTTGGCAGAGAACTGAGGACCTCCAATATAGCTGCAAAAGCATGTTACTTGTCACATTAAAAGCACTCTAACTCCACTGTAAGTGTTGCATGGGTAGAGATTGTGTTGATCTTTGTATTTCACCGTCACTTGTCTTTCTTTCTTTTCTGTCTTCCTTTTTTTCCCCCTCCTCTCTCTCTATAGTTGTGTGTGAGAATAGAGAAGAACCCTGGTCTTGGTTTCAGTATCTCTGGTGGCATCAGCGGCCAGGGGAACCCCTTCAAACCCTCTGACATGGTACGACCCGACCTGGCTTGCCAGCCTATCACAGCCTCCCCAGCTTTACCTCAGAGTTGCCATGGAAACTGCTGCTAGTTACCGCAGTGTTTTCGTCTGTCTGTCTGTGGGGCAGCAGGTTGACTTGGTTAACTTTTAATCTCATTGAGTCTGTAATCTTAAACTACAGGCTTCTGGGTAGAAAAGGCTTTATTTTATTCATGGGGTGAAGAAGTCTGAGGTGTGATAACAAAATATCAAAACTAAACCTCTTAAATTATAAAATAATTCTCCTCAGCATCACCAAACAGGTTCAAAAACATTATCGAAATGACAACTGGGTTTGGAAAACGGTAACAAGAACTATGCAGTGTCCTCATCACTTTCAGGTCTCTTGGAAAAGAAAGCAACAAACTGGAATATTGTACTATTAGGAAACGTGCATTCATGATTACCAGATATGCCAGAGTCTTTTATCATTTCTACTCCTGGGTTTGTCTGATTTTGTCAGTGCCTGTGCCAAGAGCCTTTTGGGGTTGCGCATCCCCCAGCCCTCCTGCACATGGCAGTCTGTCCTAGAAACATGCTGCTATAGTCAGACTAAAGGAGCGAGGTTGCTCACGGAGCTCTGACAGCTATTTTAGGAAGGCTGCTTTCTTTAGTTCTGGGACACCGTGGGTGATCTTAGATTTTCATCACTTTCATCTCAGGACAGGAAGTATGGCAGATTTTACTGACTGTTATTCAGATGTTGAGTAACTGACGAGACAGCTGGTCTATAAATATAAAGCCTACAATAAGAGTCAGCCTCTGTGCAGCCAATGTGACAACTGGGGAATTAATTTAAGTCCGGGGGTGTGAAGTGATGATATAGAAACTGTAAATTCTTCACTTTGCTTAAGTTTTAAGTAGACATCTTGCGACTCAGTTGCTGACACGTGCAATAGTTTAATCACACCCATCTCTACTTGTATCCATAAAGCTTCCGCCAGCAGCACGTTTTCCATTATTAATGCCATCCGCAGTTACTCTAGTGATTCTCCTTCATATTTTGTCAAGTAATTACCTTACACAAGAGTAATGTATACTGTAGGTCTATACAGACATACTTTATAGACTCACGTTAATACGGATGAATCAATATAATAATACATTTAATTGATCACATCAGAGTAAAATGTCTACCTATGCTATTGTACATTGACAATTATTTCAAATGTTGACTGAGTCATGGAAGTATATGGTTTACACACACATCGAGGCTATTTGCCTTCAAAGTTACACATGATGAAAAAGCAGATATTGCGAGTCAGTTTATCAAATCTAATTTTAATCATCTTATTCTTGTAACTTCCATCAAACATGTGAAGCTACTTCTTTACGGTTGACTACTTTAGGCTGATTAATCAGAAGCTCAAACTCAGAACAATGCCTTTGATTTTGGTTTCATCATATTTTCTGACCTACTTATTTCTGTCATATTATATATTACAAAGCTTAAGAATTTATAAATTGTAACTTTCAATTAAATGCAGACCAGAGTACAGGTATATAAAGTTAAAAAGACAATGTCACAACAATTTGACTGACTGTATTCCACATCCATGTTCTACACAGCAATGGCTGTTCCGCAGTACTGTGGCTCTCCCTAGTGGCCAGCTTGTTATTTGCACAATCTGAATTATCTCGGCTGGATTGGCACACTTGTAGCCTAGCTAAACTGTGTTTTTTTTTAATAATTCGCAAACACTAAAATACTGTACTGGCAGCATTAACTTCAAATTGGCTTCAGAAAATGTCAGTTTAATTTTTGCAAACCTTTGATTAAAATCAAGACCTCTATACTTTATGGTTCGTGAACACAGCTCCAATATTTCACAATATAAAATGATAATTGTATGTTGTTTAAATGACTCTACAAACAATCCTAAACTTAACATAATTATTTCGTTGCACTTTATTTATAAAAAGTTTTTAAGAATATATTTTTCCATAAATGTCCACTCTTTTTAGCATCAAATAATCTCGGCCTGATTGTGATTTATAACTAAGTACTAATCATTGCAAGTGTTTCTTGTATAGATACATAGAAATCTTGCAAGTATAAATTGATAAAATTGAGATTACAAAACACACCTCCAGAACAGTTTCCTTATCATATTGTATCTGACAAGTTGTCTAAGAGTTTAGATCCATAATGATTTCTCAGTGATTGAAAATCCTTTGGAAATCTTGCTACAATCCAATATCGGGATTCTGAAAAAGAATTGATGATCTTCTAAATTTGTATCTAAAGGACTAGCTAAGAAACTCCAAGCCGCTGGGTCAGTTTCACTTCTGGCTGATTAGGATTCAGCAAGTGGAGACGTTGACTCAGTTCTTGTATTGACAGGACTGGGATCTCCGGCTTTGATGTATTAGCTTCTTAGTTAAGGAAGAGAAGATGGGGTTAAAGGAGCAGAACGTTTCTAACATTCAGACCTGGATGTTTGAAAATCCAATTTTCTGTACTGCTATTACCTAATATGCTGTCTTTGCACACTGAGCTGCTGTGGATAGCATCTATCTTTCTTATATATGTTATCAATGAGCTGCAAAAACCTCTTCCCCAATATTGTCCTGAAATATTTTTCAAAATGTCCAAAACCATCTGACATTTTGAAGATGGAAGGTTTTTGCAGGGTGCTGCAGCTTCATGTGCAACTGCTTTGTAGTGTGTAACTGTTTACATGTTGTGACTACTGCTACAAAATGCTCAGCATATCAACAATCACAATTTACAGTGAGCTCCATATCAATTTCTCTAAGTAAATTCAACCAACCACATTTAAACTGGCATTAATTGAATATAATCATGACAAACAAAATGTACCATCTGGTTGTAGACACATATGAGGCTCACTGTACAAATGCAATTGTAACACAACTAATACTTCTAACACACACCTCTTTAACATGCATTATATGTGTTTGTTCTTGCTTTCACGCACAGACTGTGGTATGAAGGTGCCACTGCACTGTCACTACCACATCTTCCTGTTAACCTGCTCTGTTAAGCTCACTCTTATGTGTTCAACACATGCACAACCTTGTTGAACCACACTGAGTTGACACAGCCGCATCGTCCGACACTTTCTGTGTTCAAAAACATCTTTCAGCTTCCGGTGAAAAGATGTTGGTGTTTTTACAATCTCTGCCTTGGGTTATCAGGGGGAAATATGGGGGATAAAATATCTTCTACCTTCCCCGCTTCCTACTTTAGTTAGTACCCCCTCTACTCCCATCCACAACTATTCTTCTTGATCTATTTATATATTTACAGCATATCTATTCTAATCTCTTTTTAACTTCATGCCTATGCCAGGTCCTTATCCCTATAAATAGATAAAACAAACATTTTGACATGTGTAATCTATGTCTTTTTGTAGGGAATGTATCACTCTGCCTCTGTAAATTATATTCAAACAATTGAACATCATAATTTGCATGCCTCTCCAAATGTAAAACATGCATTGGTGAAAAGCCCATATCCTTTTGGCAGAAATTTAATATTTTTTGGGGGGGTGGATAATGGAATGAGAATGAGAAAGGCAAAGATTCTAAACCATCGTGTCCCTGTGTTGTCCTAACGGTGTATCATTTTGACTTATAGGGTATCTTTGTTACTAGGGTACAGCATGACGGGCCCGCCACCTCCGCCCTGCAGCCCGGAGACAAGATTCTGCAGGTAACATCCTCTCACTCATCGTCAAACGGCCACATCCTGCCCTCTCTCCCCTTCGTTACTTTCCCAACCCTTCCCTTATTTTATAAAAAGCATTCGATAGGAAAAACAAAGGAAGTTGTACTCTTAGCCGGTAAGGGCTATTCTATAAAGACGGGAGAAAATACTGTTTTCAGCTTCTTAAATATGGAGATTTCCTACTCTTGTTTGTTCTCTATCATAATTCAACTGAATATCTTTGGGTTTGGACTGACTGACGAACCAAGACATTTAAAGACCCCACCTTGGATCTTTAGTAACTACGGTGCATCTTTCAGTATTTTATGACATTTATAGAACAAACGATTAATCCAGAAAATAATCTGAAGATTACTTGATAATAAAAATGACTGTTGGTTGCAACCTGAAAAAAGGTTTCAGTTTGTACCCATTATCAGGGTCATTATACAGTAAGACCCATCTACATTATCTCATTGTAATTGCTATTTATATGCAATAACTTTGGATAAAATGTGGTCATAAACACTAGCAACCTTTTCACATTTATTATTATTTCATTTAATTTCATTTAATTTCAATCTTTATTTCGAACAGAATAAAAAATAAAAAAATAACAAATGTGAAAAACAGAATACCGTATTGTTAAAATACAGTAGTTATCCACATTCATGATAATATTTATATATTCAACCACAAATAAATCATATGTGTCTGAAAGGGAGCAGGAGGAAGCAAATGCTTATTAATTCCCAATTATTAATTGTGAAAAAGCAAACATTACAAGTAAACATAAGTATATTCTAAATACTGTACATCCTGCAGGGTCACTATCCCAGGGCCAACAAAAAGCTGTTAAAATAACTTCCTGCTTCAGTCAATATGAATCAATAAACAATAAACAAATTATTCAAAAATAATAACTTAATTTATACCTAAATTGTTGCTATTATTCCAAAGTGCTGAGCCCAAATTGTAAAGATTTTACTGTGAGGTCTAAATGAGACACATACCTTTTACCATGCCAGATTCAACCCCCTCCTCAACCCCTGTTCCTCATATGTTTCCTCCCCTCTCTCCTCCCCCTTCATCTTCTCTCCACAGATGTACAGTTTAGCTGGATGAACTCATCTAAAAGTCCTTTTTTGTCTTTACCCTTTCTCCCTCTAGCATGACTGTGTAGCTCCTCCTCTTCTCTCTCTTTTCCCCAACAGTGATGTGTTACTGAGATAATGATGGCAGTGGCCCTCCATCCCTCCACACACACATATAGACATATGTATGGGAATATTGCTGCACACATACCTCTCTCTATACATACCTGCACACACACACATGCTGTTGACCGTGCTGCGTGTTTGCCTTGCAGGCTAACGGACATAGTTTTGTACACATGGAGCACGAGACAGCCGTCTCTCTGCTGAAGAGTTTCCAGCCGACTGTGGACTTGGTGGTTCTGAGAGAAAAATAGTTTTATAACAAACAAACACAACAACAACGCTTCTCTACTCTGCTCATCGCCATCCCATGCCATCCCACCTGCCCTCCGCTGGAGGCTTGTGGAACTGAAAAATGAGCCGCCTTTTTTACCTTTTTAGGGGAACACAGACATTTATTTGCCTATTGCTGGACCAAAGGCAAATACTAGTGCCAAATGTACCATAGGAAACATATCGGCTCCTCTGTCTACCGGCAGTCAGGGATCTGATTGACGGCTGGACAGACCACAAGAAGACACTTTGAGTTCCTACAGGGCTGCTGCAGTTTGGATTTTGTGGTTTGTTATAGACATCTCATCATTCAGTGTCTACGGTTATTTTTTGGATTTTTGCTTTTCTCCACTGCCATTCATTTTGCTGTCCACGGTAGATTTTTGTTTGGTGTAGCACATGATCCACTTTCCTTGTTCCTCAATGTTCTCTTCGCTTTCTGTTCTATCTTTTGTTTTCTGTTGGTTCTCTTTCTTGTCTTATCTTCTTTTGTTTTCATTCTTTTCAGCTGTCTTCTGTTCTGTTTTGCAGGTATTATTTCCTCCAGTATACAGAAAACTTGTCTGCCTTGTGTACATATATAAAGCTGCAGCTTTCAAGAGCTGCACTTTCCTTGGGGCCTGGAACGACAGCTCTTAAAAGTTTAGGATTAATATAAATATTGTTGATAAACCACATTCTGAATCCTCTCTTATGATCATACAGGGATTATTTCTCCAAATGGACAATTTTTTAATATACCACTGATTTTTTTTATGTAAAGAAAACACTGTTGATAGTTCATTACTGCTACTCGTTTTCTTTCTTTCTTTTTTGTAAGTGTTGCTTGCACACCTATGCTGAAAAAAGCTTAAGCAATACTCCTGAGGCTTGGCCCATTGACATTTTCATTAGAGCCTAACTTGTCCCACAGTGCCATCTACCGAGCAAGTCATGCTAATGTTTACACACACTGCCATGCACATGAGCTAACAGGCAAAACACACATATACAGTCAACTTATGTGCCCCCATACACAACACATATGCAATGGTGCTCAGTGCACTATTCGTAATGAAGCCCTGTCTATACTCGAGACTAACTTTACAATCAATCTCTGTAATAAAACCAGTCAAACACTGTAACATTAATCATATTTTGAAGTCCCGTTTTCTAGTATTGTTACAGCAATGTTACATCATATTTTAGCTGTTTGAGTTGTATGATAAAATCCCAGCATGCTCTTCATATCATTGGTCACTGTCAGCCAGCCATTTTCTGTTGGCTTCTAGAGATCTCTTCTCTGTAGGAGACTCTAGATGTATTATAGCACTGGGTTTCAGTGAGACTGATATTCTATCCTTTGTGCCAAATGGACCCTCTGCCCCTCTCTGGTTGTATTAACACAGGCCTGAAACATCAGAGCTTTACCTCTTTGTGGCCCAGATCTGATCGGATCACAGTGAGTAAGGACACTGTTAGCTTTTTTTAACATTTGGCCTGGTATTCAAATCCAAGCATCCACTCTGCTGAGTCCTGACCTCTGGCCTCCCTGAAGAAAGCAACAAGAGTCAGCATTAATACCGTCTTAATGGGTAAATCTGCAGCAAATCAGATTTAACAATCAGGGGAAGATCTGATCTGTGCCGCAAAGGCTTTTGGCTACACCTTAAATTTCAGTTTGAGAATCGGATGAGATGCTAGTTATCACTAGGTGAACATGGGAATTTGGATCTGCCAACTTAGATGGTTAATGTTCAAATTATGTGTAGGTAGGAAGAGAAATAATGTTGACTGTGTTGATGTAGAAGAGATGTTTCTGGAGCAAGAAAGCTCTGGCCTTCATGGTCATGCTTCAGACCCCGAATAGACATGACAGAATTGAACGCAGGATTAAAAAAAAAAAGGTTAGAGGTTAATTTCCTGTCTTTGTGTGAATGCAACACATTTCTTGAAGACGTTTCATGACAGTGAGTTGTGTTTTGTTCTGTATAACATCTGATGTTTCATCCAGAGCAAAACAACATCCATCACTGTTGTTTGCTTTTACTTGATGTGACAGTGTCCTCCTGTGGCCATTTTGTGTCAACCCTCTTAATAAGCGTTAGAATTGTGTTAATTCAATTTAAGGGACACAAAATGGCACAGTGAAGTACTGTAGGTTAAGAGACTTAATCTTAACCCCAGGTACCCACCCGATCCTATTTAGAGTTTGAAATATCAAAGATATTGTGATGAGAACAGAGAAAACAGTTTGATAATATAATTATTTTTTACTACATGTTCAGGTAATTCTTTCTAAATATATTGATATACCTTAGCTTTGCTCAAAAATTGTGATATTTTATAATAATGACACTTATAACAATGGATGGAAGTACGCACAGTATGACTTGGAGACCTACACATGTACTATCCAAAGCTGTATAAAATGTATTTCTACTGTAATTGTGAATTTGTGTTATACAAATATATATTATATATATATGTATATGACTATAAAAAAACAGTCATTTTCTATGTGTTTAAACTTCATAAGAGCTGAACAAATGGGCGGTGTCACTGTACATAGCTGTGAATGAAATCCAATTTAAATGACTCATATTGATTGTGAATGTACTCATGCTTTCTGCAGTACCTACACCTACCCAACTTGAATGCTGCTTCTTCTGTTGTGTGACAAAAAGTACTTTGACCTCCGAAGAGAGAACTTCTGTCGAGTTTTAAGTTGGACAAATTTTAGTGACGATTTAACAGAACTATTTATTTATTTATTTATTTATTTGCACATGCAAGTTGAAATCCTTCCAGTTTTAAGTTTGAGTATTAATGCGGAGAAATGTAATTGCAGAAGTATATATAATATATATCATGTGTTTAGAATGCATTTTGCAGAAGCTATCTGTACATACTATTTAAGATACAATTTTTACAAAAAATAATATATGTATAAAATAGAAAAAATGCTGTGCAGCAATTATACTGGAGCCATTTTGGGCTTTGGGACGTACCATTTTTTCAGTATATAAGAAGTGTTTTGAATAATGTACTAAAGTCTCTATTGTACAAATAATAAAAATGTCACTATTGGTAATATGGGTTCCTCCTGTTGCACTGAGCTCTTACTTGAGGGCGGAAAAGAGGGATATCTCTCTTTCTGTATTTATGTATGCCTTATTTCCATAGAAAGAGGAAGAACAAAACGGGGGATCAGAAAAAAGAAGAATGGGAAGGGAGAAAATAGGTCATTAGAAAATAAGAAAGTAATGAGGGAATGATGTTCTTGAGATGTTGAAAATGTTTGCAAATAAAGAGAAAACGGGCAAGGCAGGAGCCCAGATTAAGAAAGGAAATACAAAAATAAAGAAACAAAATGGGAGAGAGGTAGCAAATCACTGAAAAGAACGGGATAACGTGATACAAGAATAAACAGTGATGAGTAGGATAAAGAAGAGAGGCACAGTAAAGGGGATGAGCTGAAGAAAGTAAATTGGAGAGTGATGACAATGGCCTTAGAAGGTCTGTAGGACATTTCATTTTCCTCTGCTTCTCTGTGGATTAAAGTCTGTAGAAGCTCTCAGCAGATGCTCTTTTGTCTCTCTGTCCATTAGTCTAACAGCCTGACTCTTCTCATCCCTCTATATCCGTCCATCTCATCTATTTCTTGACATTTATCTGAGCCGTGGATTACAGAGGGACAGTCGAGTTTGTCAGTCTGACTCAAGAAACAGATAAAAAAAACAATGAAAAGGTCTGGCATATTGTGGTAAGTATTGTGTATTAAAAACGTATGGATTTTGCACACTGGACATGCAAGAAAAAAGTGTCTGTCATTGATTGATTATAATTACATATGGATGTTGGCTGGACACAGAACTGGAGCTTGTTCATGCGTTCACTGAGTCCTAAACCAGTTGTGATGTTTGTATGAAAAGTGTAATTGGTATGATGAGAGATTCTTACTGCTGTCTACATCTGGATTTCACAACCAGCCTTGATTCACAACCTTATCATTCATTTATGGACTATAATGACAAGGAAATTAAATAGTTAGTCAAGTTTATGGCCAGTTAAGACATTGTCCTGTGACTTTACACCACCCATTTTACAAGCCAATATTTTAATTATTACTCGACTACTTTCATGCACTTAAATGTGATTTGTTGGTAACGATTAGACTGAAACGTAAGATCCACATTAACCAGCTTCAACAATACAATGATGTTGATGCTGTTGCACATTATTGGGTATAGGCATAATAGTCCCATAAAAATAAGCCACATTTCAAAATGAGTGTTTTAACCCTTATGCTGTGTTCGGGTCTCCCATGACCCGTTTCAAGTTAAAATTATATAATAACTACGCTCTAGTTTTTTTTATCGGAACAAGGCTTCATGATATCCTCCACATAAACACTACAAAACTGATTTTGAAAATGTTTGCCAAGTCTGAAGGTCTCTAAAAAGAAAAGTGTATAATTTGGTGTTCGGGTCTGGGGAGACCCAGCAGAATTATTTTGGGTGACTCGAGGTCAAATTTGGCCCAATCAAGATTCATCTTTGACGTTAGACACCCCAGCCCCACCCCCTTCATCCACTGTAACAAGAATCTTTCGCAACATGCACCTGGTCTCCCCTCCCTCTGCCCCCCTCCCCCCACGGGAACTCGACCTTTCTCAAATAATATGTACACTAACACTTGAACCTGAACGCGTATTGCATGTGTGCAATATGGGGTGTAATGTGTTTTGGGCCATAACATTAAATTACAACAGGATTGTATGGTTATGAATGCATAATAAGTTAGTTATGATGTAGTTAAAACAATATTGGAGTATAGTCATTTTTTGTGTATGTTTTGGACTGAGATAAATCATGGGTCAAAATTAAGCCGCGAACACCATGAATGGTAACAGCTTTTGAACACAACACAAGGGTTAAGTATGTTTTGCTGATGTAATGTCTGTACTTCTACTTTCATGCATGGAATATTACAGTGATGTTTTGTTAGTTTTATTTATTTATTTATGGATGTTCTTATAAGAAAGGTGTCACTGGCTGATAATTATTTCCTCTATCTGTGTTGTACCATTCTCTACTGGCATCATCGCTCTCAGTAGAACAGCTCTGCTTACGTGTTAGAGGAGGACAATTAACAATAGAGGGTAATAGTACACACACAAACACATGCATTGATGAAAGCAGAATGACTCCCTTTTGTTCCCTTTTACTTTATTCTGTCTTTTACACACTGCTTTGCACAAAAAGATACTTATGTGTGCCGTCTGACCAACCCACTTCCATAATCATGCATATATTTCTCCCCACGCTGGCTCATTATTTATGCAGGCATCACTGTGTGTGTGTGTGTGTGTGTGTGTGTGTGTGTGTGTGTGTGTGTGTGTGTGTGTGTGTGTGTGTGTGTGTGTGTGTGTGTGTGTGTGTGTGTGTGTGTGTGAGTCAGTGAGTGAGTGAGAGAGAGAGAGAGAGTGTGTGTGTGTGTGTGTGAGAGTGTGAGTGAGTGAGTGAGTGAGTGAGAGTGAGAGTGTAAAAGATACAGAGCGAGAGTTTTTTATGTGCACCCACCAAAGCTATCAATAAGCTCTTGACCTGATCAATAACAATACCAGAGACTGACTGCATGACCTGCATTCAGCTGCTGTAGGCTGTGTGTGTATGCAGATTAAGCAGTCCTTTAACAGTACAGGCTACAGACAGATAGGATGTTGTTTCCAACATGCAGGATGGAACTGATCATTCATCAGTGTTGCATTGCCACACTTTACTTTACTTTAACAAAAGTTAGCTTCTCCAATGCCAAGGTTGGATTTAGATTAATATTTATTATAAAAGTTTAAATAGTAGTCTAAATATGCCGCTGATACAAATGACAGAAAAGATGCACTCACACAAATATGGGAAAACACTTGCCTGCTCTGTTTTCCACAGTTTGAAAAGAAAAATCAATATCAATTTCATCTCTGTTCGTCCAGTGCACAGGAATGTATTAGCATAGTTTAGCACAAGTATGGGGAACCAGTTAGTTTAGGGCAGTGTTTCTCAAACTTTTTCATATCGTTTTTTACAAATCGCCTGAAAATGGTACAAACAAGTGGCAACATGTGTGATGAAGGTGTTTATCTGGGCTATATCATGCAATCGAAAGTGAAACTTAAGCTCGCTCCATTGCGGAGATATTCCCGCGAGAGTGCGGAAAACTTAAATGTATTTATTTATTTCAAATGTGAAATGTTACCAATATATTCACGGACCACTAGGGGGCGCTTACGGACCACCAGTGGTCCGCGGACCACACTTTGAGAAGCACTGGTAGGGGGATTAAAGTAAAACTACATATTTAGTACAAAGGTACACTTTGTATTTTGTGTTTTGTATCCACTAGTGTGAAAATATATATTGACACGTTATAGTTATAGTTTAGCCCATTGACATGAACACATTCAAAGTCCTGACTGACAAAACACAGCTTAAGTATAGATGTGGAGGTGACAGTTTTGGAGTTGTTAAAAGGCATATTTTTCAGTTTTGATTTATCAGATTATCAAATGACTAGAGGACAATAAGAAAACGTGGGTCATAGTTTTGTGAGAAAAATTGAGTTTACTGTTAGCTCTTCTTATGCTGGGAGATTCCAATGGTTTCAAAGTAGGAGGTTTGATATACAGTGGCATTGGCAATTGTGTTTGCTAAAGTGTATTGAATACATTTTTCACTGGGCCACTTCTGTTTAACAAAGCATGGATTTTGGTATTCTTTCATTTTGTAGGTCCACTCCTTTAAGAGGCATCGTTTTGGGAAAACTAGGCGCTGGTATTTGACATGGATCTAGGCTGGGAGATAGGGACAAGCCTAGTACAGAGAAGCTTTTAATCCAATCAACACAATACAGCTGTTTACCATGACAATACTACCAAACTCACACAGGGTAGACCTGCCCAGGCAGATGGTGGGATTACACCTGTGACGTTGAAATTGGAGCCCCCTAATACACAGGGGCGGTTCTAGGGGGGGCCAGTGCCCCCCTATCACTGACTTTGTGTGTTGGATAAAGGCGTCCAACAAGTAACATGTAATGTAATGTATCTGAAATAAATATGTGAACTGAAACAAATACCAATAACTGTATTGCATAGTTTTCTTATCATAGGCGGCACCAAGGGGGCGCTAGGGGGTGCTGCAGCTCCCCCTAGGATAGCCATTGCAGCACCTAAGCACCCTCAAGAAATGTATGTCTTTTTTTATTTTTATGTGTGAAATTCATGATTTGAAAAATGATTGATTCGAAAATAATATGCTACAGTACAGTAGCCTACTTCTGGGTCTCTGTGTTTCATTCAATCTCTGCTCTGTGTGTTGCACGAGCCATTTTGTGTGCGTGCGCGCGCGAGAGAGAGTGCGCAACGGTACCGCAGATCGTTGTGGTTAGCATCTGGTGCTAGCTAGCTACGCTAACGGATATAAGGAGCTTTTTCAACAACAAGGTGGAGGGAGAACTCTCTCCTGTCAGACTGAGAGTCTCAGATAACCTCAGCTCAGGTGAGCTAAAGGACTGCAGTGTTTAGATAGTTAACTTTTAGTCTAAGTTATCTCAGTGGATCTCAAACGGTTTGGTCACGATTAATGTTAATAAGTATTTCTGAGGCACACGTTTATATGATCATATAGTTGTAAAAAAACAAGAGAATAATTTAAAAACAGTTATGACATACTATTTTACAGTAAAACAAGAATACAGTTTAAAAGGGCAGTGATTTATTATTTAAAAATATCCATAAAGAAAAAGAAAATCTGTTTACAGTTCTGTTTCATATGGGTGTTGAGAGAAGAGATAGATCTCTTAATGTTGCTCTCAAAGTGCACCAGATTTATGCTTTTGACTTCAATATAAAAATAAAAATCTTCCCGGGGAAGCATGCCCCCGGACCCCCCTACAGGATGTTAGGTCCCCCCCACTTGTAAAAATAGCACTTTACTCCTGCTTACACCTATATGCCGTGAGCTGATTATCGAGCCTTCATTGTAACAGTCGCGGGTGTACTGTGTATGTGTGTGTGGGGATTGTTGCAGTAGAACATTTTACTGTAGCGCCCGGTACCTTAATGGGAAACCCTACATGTTTGAGCAACCTCTATGAAACGTCAAGCTACCCCACAGCACCCCCAAAAGAAAATCTCTGGCGCCGCCACTGTTTCTTATGCACAATTACTTCATACTGTCTTTGTCGTCCTGCATTTATTGTGCCCCCCTCAGAAAATAACTGGCCCCAGCCTGCCCCCCCCCCCCCAGTCAAATTGGTCTAGAACCGCCACTGCTAATACACCTTACTTTTTGGATTAAGGTAGTGTTTTTGTGTATTTGTATGTGACCAGATAGACCAGATGCAAAGAAATTCCACCTTCTTGCTGTAATATCTGACCACACCTTTTCATCATATCTGTGCCAATTTAGTCAACACGTGCTGTATGGAAACTACCATAATCAGAAGCAGCATAAAACAGAGGGAATAGGGAAGGAAAGGTTAAACATATCTGCCTCTGGGACTGGGAGACCAATAAGTGTTTGTAAACCTAAATCTATACTCAGAGCTGAGTGGATTAAAATAGATGTAGGCTAGATCCAGTGTTTGCCCTGGAATAAACCTGGCGTTTATGCTCTGCACACTAGCTTTTTAACATGACAAAACACGATGACAAGCAGAGACCCACAATAGCTATTTTGTGTTTTGAGGTGTGTGCATCAGTGTGTGAGTCTTTTGGGGACTCTCTAGTGTGTGAGTATGTTCGCGCGCGCGTGATTGTGTGTTCATCCGCCAAAAAACCGGTCCGACGGCGTGTTGGAGTCAAGTCACCTGAATGAAGAAATGGACTGCATTAGCTTTTCCAAAGCCAGACAGAGAGGAAGAGTAACAAGTGAAAGAGAAGTAGAGAAAGAAAACAAGCTCCGGGTACTAAGTCCACGCGGTGACTGTCAACGTTTGATACCAACGCTTCATTTCTTCCTCCGCCGCTGTGACGGCTTTTCTTGGACTTAAAAACACCTTGAAAAAGCATCCCTTGTGATTAAAAAGACAGGTGGGTGTAGACGGTTGTGGTGTCAGTTTGGTCTCCCAGTTTGGAGGCAGGCTGTCCCGGGACAGACACACACATCTGCATTAACAGAGACTATCACATCGACACAGAGACCAGCCCCCGTGAGAGGAAGGACTGAGCGTGTCACCATGCCTGTGCGACAGAAAGGTAAATAGTTTTGAAGTGTTCATCTCTACTTCCGTAATGTATTCCACCACATATTTTATGTTGACAAACAATATCTAAAACATAGGTTTTTACAACTCTGAAAAGGTTGCGTTGACGTCGCTTTAACTCAACGAAGCTCCCTTGATTTCGCGAAACTTCACTAACAAACCGTCAATTTAACGCTGAATTGTTAATTGTTGCACTCACACATCATACATTAAAAATATTTTACTTAATATTAACACACTGTGGTAAATTCGGCATCCAAGTTATCCACCCACGTTAGCATTTTTACAAATCTGCTGAATGGTATGCACTGCAAATATGGGGAATTCAGCTCAACATTTTTGACTTTGCCTGTAGTTGATTGCATGCCGTATTACAGTAAAGTATTGCAATGAAATATAATATAATATAATATATGATTCATATCTGAAAACGTTCTGCTTGATGTATGTGGTTGTATAGACTAAGCCGAACGTAAACGATCAATATTACATGGGCAGACTGTTTGGCATTCAAAGCAAGTTGCATTGGTTACAGTTAGATGCAATACTCTCAGTGCTTCCGGTTTAATCAGCTGTTCAGTGTGCCATAGAGCCTGGAATGTAGTCTGTTCCTTCTTTCACACCAAACTATTTTGCCCTCATGTCCCTTTGCTTTAGACCCTAGAAATAAAAAGCCATAATAATAACACGTAACAGTTGGTCCAATTTCACATAATGAAGATACTATAACATACAATAAATAGCCACATTTCCTCTGTTTGCTTTGAAATTAGACTTACAAATAAAATAAAACACTTAATTGTTCCGCTTTATTGTAAAATAAGGGTAAAACATGCACATTAATTCCCCCTTTTTTGAGCAAACAATTGCTACAACCTTGCAAAGTACTGAAAGAAGAAATATTTTTCATTTTGAGTTGCTGTCCAATTTGCATGGCATGTCAAACACTAACAAACTGCTGAGACAGAAACCGAAAGAAAACATTCTTCAGGCACACCTGTGTCCACATTCACTGTTAACGGAGCCAGGTATTATCAATCTGTTTTATATTAGCTTCACCCTGAGGAAGACCTTGTGAGGTCTGAGTTTTTAACCATACTAATCCTCAATTAATGGAGGCTTATAATGCACATTTGCTCTACTTAAGAGTGCCCGGAGAGTTGTATCTGAGTCATTACCCATGGGGGAAAAAAGGTTTTAGTTATTTACATGTATATTTTTATATTTAGATGCTCAGCGAGCCCTGGAGCTTCTACAGCAGTACCGGACTAAACTTGACCAGAGGAAGCAGAACCAGAACCGGAGCAAACAGGGCGGCGTGGAGGAGGACTCGCAGCTGCAGCAGTCTCTGGACAGAGTCATCGATGTCTTCCAAAGTCAGCTATTCAGTGCTCTGCTTGGTAAGGACATCAGTTTGAATTTTCAGATACGCTGCCCTTGACTTTTCCTTTATACATCCATTGAAAATGACATGTGGTCATCCAGGCAAGGCCTACCATTGAAATGATGGGTCAAAATAGGGAAATTGTCAACTAAGTTACCCAGGACTGTAATAACTATAGTAACTTAGTTGACATGTAACCTAGTTGACAATTTGTATGACATGTAGACATCATTACACATCATTATCAATGGAATTTTGCACTTCTGCCTTGAAATGAGCATAGTGCTAATGGTTAATAATGTGTCCAGTCAACTATGTTATTTGCGTCAAATGTTTGACTTTCATTGTCAACTATGTTGCACCTCATTTTTTCCAATTTAAAATATCTAAAATAGTGCTTCTGATATCCTTTATGGTATGTATATCTACACAGGTTGGAGTTTTACATGACATCTCTTAAAACTATCAAAATGACCTGTATGGTAGTTTTATAATAGAAAATATCCCTATCCTTAATGACAGTGCTGAACATATCACATGAAAAAACAAAACTTTAATACAATTATTTTTTAAACTTTAAAAAATCTTTGGATATATGGTAGAATAGACTCAAGAGCCTTTCAAATTTTATTTTACTTGAAGTGCAGGACTTAATCAAATGATTGTAATGACATCAAGTTTGTCCGTAACATAGTTGACAAACTGAGTAGTGAAAACATCCTTTCCCTTAAAATAAAATAATGTTTAAGCTTTGCAACTAGTGGATATGTTACACTGAGGAATATACTAACTTGAACCACTGATTGTTCTATTGAGAAAGAACACTTTTTTTGTACTGTTTTGTTGATGTGAAATGCACCCTAAATGATAGAATCAGTCTTATACCTTCTATTTGCGAAGCTTCGGTTAGCCTTTATCTGCTGGTTACAGTGATTAGTCCCATAATATTGAGTCCATCAACAGAAGGTGTTTGTCAAATATTTCTGTTAATTGATTTTATTGTTTTATGCAAACATTTCAGAAATATCTGTTGTCAGCCTCTCAGATATAGAGCCTTTCTGTCAGTATATTAAACTGAATATCTCAGGGTCTGTGACTGACAAAACGGGACTTTCAAAGACACAACCTTGGAGAAACTCAGACGGACATTTTTCATTATTCGTACATGTTATAAATAAGACCATAATACAAGCACATATATTTCAATAATGAAAGTAATTGTTAGCTGCAGCCCTTCTGCTGATACTTGCATGTGAAATGTTTTTATGAGTTTTAACATTTAAAGTGTCTTTGAGTACCATGACATGTATTATTATTATAAATATGTAGAACATCTCTGAAGCCCTTTTTAACGTAAGCTTTATTTGCACTATTTGTATCTATTTGCACATTTGACTGCCCTAGGCTCCATTTTTACATTATATTAACAGAGAATAAGGAATTAAAACCAGCATAGTTATGTTAGAGAAAAGTGTTATCATGTTAACACATATTAATTTTGCTCTAGGTTAAGATTGGGATACACTTGTATCTTCGCTGTAGGTAGTTTTAACTGGGCTGTGGTTCTCGGAAAGAGATTTTAGTTAGCTATTTTTGAAACATTGTCGTGGAGTTCAAAAACCTTGGCGTATAAAACAGAAACTGTCTATATTACTGTATGCCAATGTTTTTTTCGTGACCCTTTATATTTGTACTTGAGAGCTGGTTTCCAAAACAAGTTTGAAAGCTCTGTGTTGCTATTGATAGCTGCTTTTATGTCTTTACCATTGACGGAGGGGTGTAGTTTGTTAGTCAGGAGGGAAACTATGTGTTTGGGATTCAATATGAAGGCATGAAGACAGATTGGCTTTAGTGTTCTTTTGTCCAGATAAAGCTAAGGAGGTTTGGCTTTTGTTTGACTGACTCTGATCTTCTGAGAAGGACAGGAGCGCTGTGGTAGCATAGTATTCACGGTTTCTACTATAACTTGTGCTATCACATGGCTTATTTTCACCAGCAAATTGAGATCAGATCACTACCATGTAGGCGTGATGTGGCCTGTCACAGCAAACACTGGGCCCCTTTGTGGAAAGCCTGCATGCATTTAGTGAATGTGTTGCAAGTATAAATTCCTCCCAAGAGTTAACAGCTTGTGTATAACTGGTTTGATCCGCTTGTTGTGAACTAGCGTCATGTTTTTAAACAAACTGGTTCTCTACCTGCTTTGTGCCACGCCCACACCTTTAGTACCTACAGTAACGCTCCTATCCGTGTGTGAGCATGTGTGTGTGCTGTTCACTAAACAGGGCACTGAAATCCTGTGTGGACTTTGACCTTTACATCGAAAGTCTTTCATGTTTAAGCTGTGTCTTAAAACAACAGCACTGTCTTTTTTTTTCTAGTATTATTTATCCTTGACTTCTTATGTCTTAAATATGTTTGGCCTATTTTGTAATGTAATATGTTTGAACATGTTTATTTATGTGTGTGTGTTACTGTATTTTGTTCCCCTCCTTGTTGCCTGTTATGTGGTTATTTCTATGTATGATACTGTTCAAATCTCTCTTCACTTTATTCCCCTTTTCTCTTCACAAACCATCCTTCAACTGTCTGTATCTTCCCTTTCCTCTCCCCACATACTGCACCTCTGTTTTTCTTCCTCTTCATCATCTCTTTATGACCACTTAACTTATTTGTTTTAGCAGTCTGAGCTAACAATGTGTATGATTTAGTGCAGAACTGTCAGTTGTGTATGCAGAGAGGAGAAAGTGAAACCATAAATCATAGAAGTTAATCTAATAGGGTCCTTGTTTTATCTTTTACATTGGGAAATGACAATATACTTAACTAATTCTCTTTGAAGTGGAGAACTGTGACTACTTCAGGAGTTACTGTTTAAATACATATGGTGGCAGTATCATTGTGCTTCCACTAGAGGTCAACAGTGTATAGGCATTTTCTCCACCAATGTACCAATGCCTCTGAATGCAATCTGCATATACAGCAGTGATTACGGTTTTCTACTGAATTGGGAACAGCTTTACAGAGCTGCAACTGATTTTAATGTTTTGATCGATGTATTGTGAAAAAGGGATCTCCTTCTTACTGAGCCCAGATTTTGAGGCTTGTTTTTTTATTCATAAACTGTCCACAACCCAATATATAGTTTATAATGATGTAAAACAAATAACACCTAAGTCTGGAGATGATTAAACCAGAAACTCATTTGAATTCTGAGTGATAAATATTGACAGATATACTAATCATTAATTTAATAGCTACTTAATCTTTGAATAATCATCCCATCGCTTCTGTTCTGTATCCTTTGGAGAACACATTGCCTCAGTGTGCCTGATATTTATTCAAATATTCATTAATTTGTGTAGTTTTATAATAAGTAAGTCTTTATTATTACTGTCATACATTCATCCCTTTAAAGTGTCATTACTTCATTTACAAAACCACTTAACCGTTCAGTCATTCCTCCTGGCTCTAATCTATTATTTCGTCCTCCCAGACATCCAGGAGTACTACGAGTTGACCATCCTCGCTGACAGTGACAGTTCTGTGGACCAGACAGCCGGTCCCTGGAGCCTCCCTGACTCCTATAACCCCCCAGCAGAGCCTTCTCCCCAGCCACAGCCCCCCTCGGTTACCCTGAGCCCCCCAGCTAGTGAAGGATCATCCCCGCTAAAACCTCTGTCCCCCAAACCCAGGTCGATCAAGTCCCATGCTGCTCCATTACCATCCGGGACACCCACATCAAAGCCATCTTCCCCTACAACACAGTCTGTTTCACCGGAGTCACAACCAGCCAAGCTCAAGTATCGTGCTCCTCTCCCTCCTGTCCAATCAGGAGTCTCCAAATCATTGGCGTCTGATTTTCTGCCCTCTTCTCCTTCTGCTGCCACATCCCCCGGAGCCCCAGTGAATGGTGTAGAAACCCCCAAATGCCCAATAAAAAAACCTCCTAGATCAGCACTGAATGGAACAAAGCCTCAACTCACTGCCACCAACTCTAATGTTTCGGTGGCAAGCTCCACCTCCTCCACCATTCCGCAGAGTGATTCCACCTCTCCGGACCCCAACCTGATGACTGTCTCGGCCCTCGTCTCCAGCACCATCGAGAGCTTTGTGTTTCCAATTTCTCAGGACAAACTCACCCCAAAAAGCGGCGGTCCTGTCACCAGCCCGGGTCCCATCAGAGTCACAGACGCTGTCGTAGTCTCCACATCACCTGTGACCACCAAGGACTCAGGCTTCGGCAAGGTCACTCCCAGCACGAGTCCAAGCAGCCTCAACCAGGGAAAGTTCAGCTTCAGCAGCCGCAGTCCCAGAAGTCCTACAGGGCCTTTGACTAAAGGGCTTCATCTGAGGTATGTTTGAATTGTTATTAAAGTACATTAGCAGGATTTTACTGACATTTTCCCATACCAAACTGATACGTTATGTTTGGTATAAACAGTGGAAAACACTATAGCAATGAGAAATTAACACCAAAGATGTGGACACAACAACAAACAAAGAATAGCTTCAGTTACATTTTGATGCACCCTGTTTGATAGTGGCATAAAGGTAATGTAGAAGAAAAAAATGAATGCTAAAGGCTAGCAGAGACTATAGCTTCTTAATCAATATCCTATACTGTAGGTGTTGTTGAAGTTACTACAGGCGGTCCTTCTTCTTAATTGGACATCCATTGTTCTTTAGCTATCCCGCTCAGGCTAACTTACTGTACATGTTACTATTTATTTCCAACAAATGCCAGAACACACAGAAAGATTTAAAGGAAAAAGCATGTTTTTCACATAACTTAGTTGACATATTGCAGCCAACACTGCAATTTCTTTGCTTTTTGGAATTCAGATGTAGAAGTGCAGAATAATATCAGACCGTTTTCAGATGAACCTCTAGACACCCTCTCTCGTTGCTATCTGTTTCCAGTCCGTCCAGCCTGGAAACAGTTAAAGTCACCTCCACCAGCCTGAGCCACGGTCCAGCCAGCCCCCGGCCAGCAACCAGCCCACTGATCCCCAACAAGGTAAGACACCTCTGCTTGTGTTGTATCAGCGCCTTCGGAAAACTGCAAGACATCTCTGCCCAGAGAATCAAACTTGAGAGTGATCTCAGTTTCTGGGTGGCAAACTTGAGCTTACAGTTAGGGCTGCACGACTCTAGAAAAGTGCTGCGATGATTTCCAGAGAATCTACTGTATGATGAGAAGGCAATTATCCCGCTGTACCTATGACATTTTGTCCGGTTGGTTAATATACTGAATTCCATTATATATGTTTATATGGTCATGTGGCAGGGATTTCCTTGTAGTTGTCATTGTTATTATGGGTTCACCATATTTCCATTTTTCAGGTTTTATTTAGCTGATATCTGTCAGATAGCATACATTTGCTTTGATTCCGTTAGTAAATACATGATCTAGTTATTGTCTTTTGTCAGAATTGGTGTCAGAACCTCTAAAGGTATTTGTATTTCACTGTGTTGCACCACGTTCTGTATCTGTGCCCATTTGGTTTAATGCTATTTTTACTTAAGGATGCAGATTATGAAGAGAAAAGGGGCAATGTTCACCCTTTACACAGAAGAACAATGGTTGTACAAAAGGAGAAAACATAGAAGTAAGACTTTGATTGTTTTTTTGTGTCTCACATATCACTTGTCCTAAATAGAAACATTTATGATACAGGAAGTACAATTATTAACTGGTGACAACACGTGTCCTCTGTAGCCATGCGGAGGGGCTGGTGGCTGCAGAGAGCTCAGTTAGATGGACAGATCGTTTATGCAGGCTGGCTGTTTGGACATCGGCTTACATTTCATTACATAATATGACAAGGGGAATCAATTCAGTTCAGTAACATTTTATTTAGAGATGGGCTCATGCAACTAGTTTAGCTTGTTGATCTTGCTGAAATGGCATTGTGTGGTTTAGGCTGTTTAAACACAGGTTTACACTGCACACAAATTGGCTTTGATCTTCTGCTGCTGATAGTCCACATCTTGGGGAATTAGATTTAATATGGACTTACATTGCTTTATAGTGAAAAGCTGTTTTAATACAGTTATGTTTGTGTATCAGGAAACATGTCCCCTTACAGTTAATACTGCTTGTATTGTGTTTGGGTTGGTTCTTACTACGGTTGTATTCATTTGCTGCCTATAAGCTGGTTTTATTGTCTTTGAAAATGCATAATATTCAACTATAGTTTTGAATTGAAATGAATGTGAATGTGAAGGTGATATTCCTTATGCCTGGAAGGAATTTCTTAACACTTCTCTCAAACGTCTCCTTGGGCTCAAGGATGAAATGATTTGAATTTGTTGGTCACTGTGGCCTTAACTATTAACTATTTGTTTGCCGCAATAAAAAAATGAATTTGCAAAGTTAATTTCACACTAGTGTCTTAAAGGACAAAATGATGTAAGTGATGACAATAAATAAAATGGGATTACTGGTATTAAATAGCATATTATAAAATAAATTGAGACCTAATGATATTCAATCAATCAATCGATCAATCAAAGTGTATTTATGTAGCCCAATATCCCACATTTTATATTTATGTCATTGGGCGTTACAGTTTATACAGCGTATAAATACGACCCCCTCTGTCCTGAGACCCTCACATCGTTCAGGGCATCTTGAGTGAATCTCTTCTTTGTGTGAAGCTTCAGGGTGCAAACGAGCTTTAACTTCGCTTATACCCAAAGTTGAAAGTAGAGCATCCATTGCTCTACTGCTGTTACTGTTCACTTAGCCTACCCCCCCCACGCCTGACCTGATAAAACAGCAGAGAGTGTGTGTGTATCATAAGTATTTGTATTTGTGCTTACCTCTGTGTATAAAAGTATGTCCGTGTGAGTGTTTGCCTGTGCATTCATGTGTATGCGTTTCTGCGCCTGTCTCGATATGTTTGCCCTTTTTTGTGTGTGCTGAGTGTGTTCAGGGTTTGCACGGACATATACTCTGAGCCATGCACTTCTTGAAGTCAAAATGTGGCAACCAGCTGCCATAAAACGCAGATAGCAGCTGGAAAACAAGAGGGCGGGCTGAGGTGCACCGGGAAAGCTGCCATGTTTCCCAATCCGCCTCTACTTTAGCATAGAAGTCCTCTCTGGATGCTCCGATGAAAGGACAGGTGAAGATGACATGAGGAAGGGAGGAGAGATAGATTGAGTGATGAAAGAAGAGAGGGAGGAGGAGGAGACAAAGACGGACAGAAAAGTATTCAGAAAAGCAACAAGCGGGTGAGTGCATGGTGCACGTGTAGCAGCTGGAAGATGTCTTGGTGAAAGTTCACTGGCCGGACTAGTGAGGATGGACTGCATCTGCATCCTCACGACAAAGGTGAGACACAGGAAGAGAGCAGATTGGAGTAGAGCTGAGGGGAATGGAAGATAAACAAAGTAAACAGTGTAACAGTGTTGACTTGCATCATTGGATAAAATTGTCTGTTTTTGATTATTTTGACCCTCATGGTCGCTTTTATTATTTTAATGAGAGTTAACCCTTTAATTTGTACATTTAAATGATGTGTGAATTACTCAGATCATCTTTTAATGAGAACGGTCATCAAGATAGTATGATTTTTAAATCAAAGGAGGATTTAAACGTGTAGTCTTTTAGGGCAAATCTACTTAGGTCATCCAATTGAAGCATTTTACAACCAACCACAGTCTTGGTAAGTGATAGTAACCAAAGTGCTCCTGTCATCACATTCAATTGGTGACAGGTTGCCTATTGTACGAATGGTGTGCTATGCTTTGTGAAACTGTAAGGTGATATTTTTACAGGAGTGAGCTATGCTCTAGCGAAGCAACTCTAATGGGACTGCCGAGCTGTTGCTCAGCTGTTGGTCTGACAGCATGTGATGCCCAGAGAGACAAGAAACTGGGTTGATAGGACACACACTTCAAAGGACTAGCTATCTGACTAGCTGGCTGGCTGTGTAGATATCGGACGGATTCGCTGATTGACTGGAGAGAACTCTTGACACATGTGTGCATACTTAGACATTCCATGGCCCATTTGAAAGCAGCAGAACTAGTGTGAGCTTGTATAGAACAATGCTTAAAAGACAGGGTATGCTAAGATCGAACATGATTTTACAACATGTCTTTAGATCTCTTTGGATAAAGACAATCAGACTAAAGACATTCAGAACTGTCCCGAGTTGAACAAAGTACCCTTTCCTAGTGGTAAGTGAAAAGCCAAGAGGGGCAACATGCAATCATTGTTCCAATTAGGGTCAAAGAGCACACTGTAGGATGGTCTACAGGTCGTGTCACAGGCTCTCTAAGGCTTTCATGATATTTGTGCACATGAAATGGGGCAGAAGTAGTCATGAAAAAGTTTGCTTACTTTATCACTTTTGCACACCTGGCCAATGGTTGCGTAATGTTGACTGTTGGTTTTTAGAAAGTCACATAAAGTCTCAAACTTTATTTTGAAATTATAAAGTCATGGGGGAGGAGATTCAGATGCTGCATATTGACTCTACTACCACTTTATTTGAAGCTGCAATTAAACTAGCTCAAGGAACTAATATTGTATGCGTTTGCTAGAGATACAGCTTATAGGTCTTTGCTGTAAATTCTCATCAGCCATTAGTCTTGCTTAACAGACGTTGTTCTTCCATGCTATCTTAAAGGCTAGACCAGAGGGGCCCAACCTGTTTGGTCTGAGGTACCCCCAGAGCTCTGTCAGATGAACTCACGTACCCCTTTTTGGATTCTATATAAACTTTTTACTTCTTCTTTGCTTTTTTATTTAAACCTAGTTAAGCTACTTTACAAGCACATTCTCTACACCACCTAGTCTTCAAATAAAATGTAAAAACTATAGTTTGTTCTTAAATACTTTAAATTATACTATACAATTACTATAACATGTGAATTAATTGGTTATATCCTAGTACAAGCTTGATCTTGGCACCCTCTGGATCTTGATTCAGACTAAATCTTGTCTTGATTGTGCTTATTCGTGGACTCTACTTAAGTGTGTATATCACATTGTCTGCTTGAAGGACATACACTTTGACCCAGAGGGGATCCGCCCGCATTAGTAAGAAATCCCGCTTGGAGGCATTTTGTGACCTCGCTTATAAACTGTTAGGAATTTTTTATTGTGCTGGCTAATGCAGGGATTGTCCGGTTTAGGCTACACAAAGAGACAAACTCTCTGTGCAAAGATGTTATTCTATCAGATAAAAGAGTACACTCATGAAAGAAGCTGACTGGTCTCTTAGTTGATAGGGATATATGAAAAGTAGAATGTGCTCGAGGACTGACACATGCAGACACACTCGCATATACAGTATGCAGACACACACACACACACACACACACACACAACACACACACACACACACACACACACACACACACACACACACACACACACACACATACACACATACACATACACACACACACCTCACACACACACAGTTTGCAGTCTGTTGGCAGATACACTAACAGACTGCTGGGTTCCCATCTCACATTCATCTGGTTAATCCCGTTTATCTCATTAAGATAATGGATTACAAATCAGAGGGTGTTTCCTGAGCTCAAGACTGCTAGATTACTCCTGGAGGATGTTTCAGTATGTGCTCTCTCAGCCTGATTGATACATTAGTTACTCGAATCTCCCTCTTTGACCCTCTTTTAATCTTTTACCATGTGCATTCTCGGTAAACAGAAAAAAAACCTGTTTTAAAATCAAGACCTTTTTTCACTTAAATATTTCCGATGCTCATAACATGTTCATTTAATTGAATGAACAATAACATAAAACACAATTCCATATGAACAACCATACAAATAGATTCAACTCATAAGTGTATGGCATCGAATAGGTATCACCGCTAATCCTGACAAATAAATCACATTTAAAGATCAAAGTATTCTACCCAGCCAAAAATGAATCACATTATTTATAAATATATATTCAGTAGTATCTATGCTTGTGCAGATTGCCAATCCTACAGTTTGTGGATTTCAGTGTATTCTCTTCTCTATCTCGCC